AGATACAGTTAAGTCTGCCACATATCTTGGCATACATCTAGAAATTGACAATGAGGGTCACAACAAAAGGGTTGATTTCGGCATCCCAATTGTGATGTTTCCATTTCTATTTAGCAACATTCCAGTATCACCTGCATATGGAGTATATATCGCCTTGCTGGTACGAAATTCTATCACAATTTCATTGATATATGTAAGCTGCTTACATGGAAACTGTTAAACCAAGAGTTCCAAGTGGTGAAGTTGAAATCATTCCTTCGAATATTTCACGGACGCCATCACATGTTGGTTCACAATTATGGAACATCGGTTTCACAGATGATAACGGATATGTTCTATTGGTCGTAACCACAATCCCGTCCTCGTTTCCTTGAATGTGATCTACTGAATTGGGCTTATCACCGGATTTGTACTTATATGAGCAACACGACGGGTGCAACATGTGGGGCCGGATATGCTTACCCTTCCAGAGTACATGAGATCACCCCTGGTTATTAGTGGGGTTCGAGTTTGCTCAGTCTTTAGTTTTCTGTGTTATATTCTGTGTACTGTTGTTTGTCTTTTGGTCATTTTGGGTTTTTCGTCATGGCAGTCAGTCTATTAGCGACTTTTGAGTTTGAATATTCCTATTGGTATCTTTTGCTTCTCTTTTATTTTAGATACATATAAATTAAACTCGAAGCTTGGAAAACTATTGAACGGTTTGAAAAAAAATATCATCATAAATTCGATTTAAAATCGGAAAGTTTTCACTTGGATATTAATTTTAAAAACGTACAGCACACATAATTATGATTGACATGGAAAACAAGACTTCTTATTTGTTCCAACTGTTTTGATTAAAGTACAACTTAAGGTTATGTTGAAGACAAAACGCGCGTATGGCGTTCCAAATTATAAGCCTGGTATCTGCGAAAAGTTTTCACTTATGAACTGATCAGGTTGAAAAACTTGATACTAGTAGTACAATCGACAAATGATGACAAGTCTCAACTGCACTAATGTGCATTTTTACACGTATTGTTAAACTTGCCATAGACCTACTTTACATATACCTTGTAGCACGAAGGGTAAAAAAAAAGATGTCAAGTACGGCCCAGTTATTTATGCAGCAGTATTGTTCATTTACATAAAATTCATTTCAACACTCTATAATATAGATTGTTCATTGTATTTTTTTAGATATTAACCGATTTGGAAGATGGTTACAGTAAACTAGTCGGGGTTCATTGTCCTTTGAAAATCACATCAACAAAGTACTGTTTGGGATAACGTTGAACTTCTTTAAATACACAGAAAATGTACCAGTATTCCCCCACCTCATTTTTACACTTATACCTCGAATTTGACATCAGCGGTCATTTCAGTACCAGAATCTATATATCAAACGAGACGATTTTAATTTTGAAATTATTAATTTCCCCCACCTTAGTAGCAATATACCAATTTCATCTGCATATGGGAAATACATTTCCAAACTCATTCGGTATTCAAGAGCTTGCAGCTGCTACTCAGACTTTATAAAACTTGACCAGTGTCTGAGCAGAAAGTTGATGAACCATGTTATGTAAAATAACGTCATGTCCTTTTCCTAAAAAACGTTCATCGGAAGATACGAAGGACTTGATGATAAAAATTCCGTTCAACTTCACAAAATAATACATGATGGTCTTGAAGTATAGATTCTAGGTACTGACGTTGTTTATCATTTTGATTACGTGTTACAGTGTTATTTTTTTTTTTTTTTGTCTTTGTAAATTATTAACCTTTACTGTTTAGTCAATTTTTGGTAATATCCTTTTGGCGTGGCTCGGTACATCCCGCCATTATGTTATTGTGCTGTGGTCATTTATTGTATTATTGTCTTCCATTTTTGCTTATGTGCTTTGTCTTTATGCCATTTTATTTTTCTTTGTTGATAGATTTGTTTGTTTTCATAGTTATTAAGATTATAACACAATGCTGACTGCTATATCCCTATTTTTGACATTTTTAAATATTATGTCTGTTTGTTTTGTTCACACATTGTTGTCAATAAAAATTGAATTTAATGCTACTGTCAAGTGAGAAGTTTAGCTAGCTATAAAACAAGGTTTAATCCACCATTTTATACATAAGGAAATGCCTGTACCAAGTCAGAAATATGACATTTGTTTTCCATTCGTTTGATGTGTTTGAGCTTTTAATTTTACCATTTGATAAGGGACTTCTTGATTGGCATTTTTGTAATTTTACATTTTAAAATATTCTGTAAGTGATTGAGATTACATAAAATATTTGTCTTTATCGTCATTACATTATACATGTCCTTGTACTTGATTCACCTTTCAAAATATGATAAATAGGCATGCAAGATAAAGTTTTATTCGCTTGAAATTAAATACAGAGAAGGGAGGATGAAGTGATTTCTACAACTAATGCGACATTCCCTGTTGCCATTTTAGAACGGTATCTCAAGTAAGCTCAAGTAAGCTGGTATTACAACAAAATATAATGATATAAAAATAAGACGATGTGTAATGATTGGCAACGAAACAACTCTCCACCAGAATCCATATTTACATTTGTATATTTTTGAAAATCTACTTATGCATATAAACTTAGACGTTCACGCAAGTCATATACAAGAGCGTGTGCAATACTATCTTTATGCATGCAAAATATCGAAGTTTAAACAAAATTTAGTCTGCATAGTTCCCGTTGAGATGAGACATTCACTTCCACTGCGACTGATATAGTGCACCTATTCAAAAAACTTGTTCTCTGGACAAATGACACAGCAAAACAAAAAACGGTTAGGCGACAGAGTCTCTGAAGGACCCACTACCCTAATACTTCAGAAGTTACATTCTATACATCTCACCCTTTCTATCATTTTCAAGGGCTAACAAGGGATAAAAAATGTTGAGTATATTTTGTAAATTATTAATGTTCAATGCCATTAAATTAGAACATAGATATACTCATTAAAGTATGTACGTCTGTTTGCAAATAGTACAACGGCTATATGATTGAAAATGCGTCATGCAAATAGGTTAGGTTAAGAAATAATTGACTATATACATCTTTTTTAATTATCATTCGAAGTCCGCTTTCAGAGAAGCAAATATGTATCACACTCCGTCCTGCAAATGCATTTTTCTGAAATGTTTTAATCTATAATATATGTAATTTATTATTTCCCATATAAACTGAGGCTTACGTTTGTTGTTTAATGTATATTTATGTGTAAAGTGACACATTAATTGTTTTATCTTTGTAGATTATTGTTTATGCAGTATAGAAAGGAAGTTTTTGAACATTACCGTATATTCTGTGTTTATTAATAGAAAAACAATGTCTACACACTGAGAGTTCATCAAATAAACAAGTGTTGAGTTTATTTTTATTAAATTATTGTGTTCAGATGAATTCATAATATTGAACCATTTTTCATTTGTAAATTTATATCAATGAAAAAAACGAATAGCAAAACCTCTTCAATTTTATGTTCAGATATATTGCTGATGTCATGTCAGTCAATAAACTAACATTTCAGTGAGTATTTGCATCTCATAAATCCCAGATAACTAGATATTAGTAATACTAAACACAAGAAGGTCGCCTTCATATCTTGATCTTTTCCTTAATATTGATACAGATGAACGACTTCAAACTCAAATTTATGACAAATGTGACGATTTCAACAATCCAATTGTCAACATAAGCTTTATAGTCACCGTCACGATTTGGTTAATTGATACGGATCTTGCTCCTTTTGGAGTTCATGCGATTCCCTCAGTTTTTATAGATAAGATGTGGTATGAGTGCCAATGAGACAACTCTCCATTCAAGTCACAATGTATAAAAAGTAAACAATTATAGGTCAAAGTACGGCCTTCAACACGGAGCCTTGGCTCACACCGAACAGCAAGCTATAAAGGGCCCCAAAATGACTAGTGTAAAACAATTCTAACAGGAAAACCAACGGTCCAATCTATATAAAATAAACAGCTGCGCAATGAGCACATGATATGTCCGTCGCTTTTTCAATAGATATAAATCAGTCACCAAAGTTTCATGAAAACTGTTCTAAGCATTTTGTGAGTTATTGTCCGAAAACTGGAAAATCCCCCTTTTTTAATGAAAAAAAAACCATAACTCGGAAACGTCAAATTCAAAATTTATAAAAATCGAAAGGGAGCTCACGTCAATAGATATAAACAATTCACCAAAGTTTCATGCAAATTAGTTAAAGCATTTTTGAGTTATTGCCCGACATATTGACGACGGACGGACGGACAACGGTATACTATGATACGTACCGTAAACTGGCGTATCAAAACGAGAAACACTTATGAACCGCACCAACACACGACTTTTGTTTTACTTTGAACTGTATCTTCATAATGTATTTATGAGATTTTGAACATCGATTGATTCTTATTTAACCTTCCTGAAACTATTACCTAATATCTGTTATCTAAAAAGACGTGTATCTTATATTTTCTTTTTTTTTTTTATTATTTTTTTTTTTTATTTATTTAACACCAGGGGTTATCTAAGGTGGTCTGGGAGAGAACAGTTTTCTTTCCCATATAAAGGTCAGTTTGTTTATCACGTTGAAATCAGATTATATGTAATAAACAAAGAAAGATTAATGGAATGCAAATACATCGAAACAATATTTAAATCAGATTCAAACAAAGCACCATAAAACCTAAATTATAGAAAGGAGGAGCATACTTTGTTCATTGTGAATCACTGGGCGCATTGCAATCAGATTGAAATTAAAAATAAGGAGATGCCGTATGATTTCCAATGAGACAACTATCTACCGAAGTCCAAATGATATGTGGATGTAAAGCAACTGTATGTCAACGTACGGCCTTCAACAATGAGAGAATCTCATACAGTATAGTACGTTATAAAAAGCCCCGACATGACAAAATTTGAAACAATTTAAACGACAAAAACCAACGGCCTGATTTATGAAGTCTGCAATAAATAATTCTACAACATTTTAATAACAAAAATGAGTATGCATTTTATTGAATTCTATGCTACAATACACATATAACATTGTTCATAGTTTTGAGCTGTTTGCCTTTATTTATATAACGTGCCATCTTCAGTAACTATACATATACAAAAAAAACATTGTAATTTTATTCTGACAAACATATTTCCTTTATATATTAATGATAAACCAGGAAAATAAAAGAAATTTCTCTTTTAACACAACTGAAAAATTTGATGTATGATTTTCCCCAGTATAGCTAGACGTTTTTTTCCGCAATCCTAATACTTGTTGCTGATCAAAATAACTTCAAAATGTTTTCTTCTAGCGTTATTGAAAGATGCTAATAGAGGTATTTCGTTTTAAAAGTTAAAGCATTGATGCAATACAGTAAAGTCAACATGTATTCGTACATGCCTTCAAGTATAAATTATTTGGGAACAGGCCTTCCACATCCAAGCCATCCCGGTGCTTTATCCTTCCGATATTCTGTCCTCTGGTATCTATTGTTGTATTTAAAATACCTACAAAAGTTAAAACAAATGATTAAATTCTTTATTAAGCACAAATTACACCCATAAGAGGGTCAAAGGCATAACAATTACATTTAATAACAACAATATAATGATGACATCTACATTTACATAAAAATAAAACAAAACATTAAACACAACAAATGACCTCAAGTGCCCCCTGTCCTCAGTTCCATAGACTGTTTAATAAAGGAGCCTAAAGATTTCACTTGCTGACTAGTGGTTGGATTTAGGATATATTTCATTTTTAAGAAGTTGCCAATGACGATAGGCATTTACCTTAGCTGTATTTTGCAAAAACCTTGTGGAATTTTGGGTCCTTAATGCTCTTGAACTTCATACATCATTTGGCTATTTTAACATGTTTTATTCGACCGTCACATATATGTCTTTTGTAGATGAAACATGCGTCTGTCGTACAAATTCTAAAGCTTGGTAGCTGTGGTGAGTTTATTTACAATGCTATTAGTTCATACTGTAGAAATGTTAATCATATTAAAAGGATGAAGGCAATACTCAATAGTTGTTGCAAGCATATTTTGTTAGTCTAAACTATTAAATGGTAACCTCCTAATGACAAACCACATTGATATTCGATGATTCAATTGAGAATTGAAAGCTTCTCTTTGTAATTTTATTGAGGCGTAAAAGCGTTGACCGTATCACATTTTGTATGAAGCGCACGATCAACGCTTTTAAAACCCTATAAAATTACAAAAAGAAGCATTACATGTTTATGCTACAACCATGAAATTACGAGTTACAGCAAATTTTTCGTTTGTTTTCCTATATATTGTTGTGACGTTCCCATGAAAAGCAAGTGCTGTAATGAATGTTGAATTTTATTGAGAAATACAATTTGATATTGGAATGCCTCTCGATTGCTTTCAGCCAAACAAAAGTACGGATTCAAAAATTAGAAAGGCTTGATTTAAGTAATGCCATATATAAAAAGAATGCGCTCTTAATCCAAAGTTCCTAAAATAGTAAGTAAGTGTCTGACAAAGTATCTGTTTTGTAGTATTGGAGAAATGTTAAACGAAAAATTCTAAGTTCATTCAAGATATTGGTACATTCAAAGTACAATGGCAAATGGGAGACGATATCTGACAGATCCGAAAAATGCTTCCACGTTACAATTGAAACTTATCAATATATCAAGCTGCTAACCATATATGAAATCGTTCTGTTATGTAGTTTCTGAGAAAAAGTGTGTCGAAAATATGTGATGGAAGAACAGACGGACAAGATTGTTGCAGTATAGCCGAACATCCTAGAGTTGGGATATAATAGAAAAATCAAAGCAAAGAGAACCTAGATAATACACATATTATAAGCAAAACATCATACAGATGGCATATTTTACTCACTTGGTTCCCTTGAAGAAGTATGTATAGCCATCATTGATATTCAAAGCGGCTTCAATATTGTTGGGTATGCCCTTCCAGTAGCTACTGATTGGTTTGGGATATCCAGAAGGTGGGCCGCTACTGTAGTTCTCGTGCCAGATACTAAATTTATCATCCTATAAAACACCATTCTTTAAAAATTTATTTGTACATACATTTGTTATATGGTTAGCATGCATGCATTTAATTCTTTTCCTATTTGCCAAGCATTATCATTTAGGTCATTCTAAATTTACGACAGTAAAATCAATGATTCACGTCCACAAAGATATATAAGAATATAAGATGTCTCAAAGGCACAATGCAGACTTGTTGCTATGTTTTTTTTTATATAATATTAAAACTAGAACCTGTGATTTATCGTCAAAAACCTGAATAAAGGAGATATGGAGTAAACGAAAATGAGACATGGTCTTAGTGATCTACGGTGTATTGTATATACAATTGAGAATGGAAATGGGGAATGTGTCAAAGAGACAACACCCGACCATAGAGCAGACAACAGCCGAAGGCCACCAATGAGTCTTCAATGCAGCGAGAAACTCCCGCACCCGGAGGCGTCCTTCAGCTTGCCCCTAAACAAATATGTATAATAGTTCAGTGATAATGGACGTCATACTAAACTCCAAATAATACACAAGAAACTAAAATTAAAAATGATACAAGACTAACAAAGGCCAGATGCTCCTGACTTTGGACAGGCGCAAAAATGCGGCGGGGTTAAACATGGTTTTTGAGATCTCAACCCTCCCCCTATACCTCTAGCCCATGTAGAAAAAACAAACGTACAACAGTACGCACAGTAAAACTCAGTTTAAGAGAAGTCCGAGTCCGATGTCAGAATAGGAAACAAAAGAAAATAAACAAAATGACAATAATACATAAATAACAACAGACTACTAGCAGTTACTGACACATGGAAATGATCTTCTGCTTAAAACTGTTGTTTTTTAAGTTTTCAGTTGAAATGTATAATTACCGCTTTAAAGATAGCATTATAAATTTTGTCAAAGTCAGCATGCAGCTTTAGAATACGATTTTTTTTATTTGCGTGATCAAAGCATATATAATCAATGAAAACCACTTACAAGGTTTCTAGATAAGGACAGACACATGGAAAATGTGACAGGTTGAAAGACGAAAGGTCGATTAAAGGAAGTGCAACTAGAACTATGAGTGATATCACAAACGATACCCTCCGCCCAACAATCCTTTTGTAAATTGAGGTAAGAAAATACGATTATCGATTACCATACGCAATACTAATAAAACAATAGCAGTACTTTACTTAAAATACGTTTATCGTCATAATCAAGAAAGAAAAGAAATTTCAACAACAGTATAATCATAACCTTTAGCAATAAGTCTTCTCAACCAAATAGAAAGATGAAATGGACAATTCCTAGACACATTTGCTTTATACACGATATTACCTTCAGATGCTGGGTGTACTGTACATGAATGACAGTTTAATTTCTAACAGATCTGATTGATAGGTTAATCGTTTCATTAATTTTCTAAATAAAATTGTCTTCATTAAAAAGTATTTTTATATATATTTAAGGAATGACTGTAATATTTTTTCTGTCTATGAAGAAATAACATCAAAAATGTGGAGCACACTGAATAACGCGCGTAGCGTGTTATTTAAAAGTGTGCACCACTTTTTTGAGATTATTTCGAATAGACAGAAAAAATATTACAGTCATTCCTTATAATTTAATTTTAAATTCCATTTTTAAGGAGTAAATCATGAAAAAACGTTGATGACGTCACGGTCACATGACAAAATTATGTCTATGAGCTGATAGACAAACAACTTTCAGCCAATCAGAAGACGTGTTACATCTAAAATTAAATTATTTACAAATGTACCTTAAAGACGTAGATGATATTATTATATTCGAGAGCTGCATCTACATTCTGGAAAAAAGGAATGGTGATCCTCTTTGGAAAACCAGCATCTAGTCGCCATCTTGTGTATCGAAATAACTTGCTTCCTGGTAATGAGAGGAACAGCATTGAAATTAAGATTTGGTATGCAATAAAGGCAACAGTAGTATACCGATTGAAAGAAAACAAATCCGGGTTACAAACTAAAACCGAAGGAAACACATCAACTGTAAGAGGAAAACAACGGACCAACAGAAACACTGAAGTGCAACAAAAACAAATGCCAACATACATAGAAACAAACTATTTGATAACAACTGCCATATTCCTGACTTGGTACAGGACATTTTAAGAAAAAATGGTGGGTTGAACCTGGTTTTATGGCTAGCCAAAACCTCCCGCTAATATGGCAATGTTAAAAAATATCGTGACAGAAATACAGCACAAACAAACGCAAGAACACTCAGCACAGAGAAACGCACAACTAAATAATATAATAGTCGTTACAACATATTTTCTTTTTTAAATGCATAAATGTACTATATAAGTCCATTTCTAGATTTTTGTAGCAATGAACAAGTACAAATTAGGTACAAATTGCAACCTTTTTATGTGTAGTTTTATCTTCTCAGTACTTTGGATGAATCAGAGTCAAAATAAAATTGTTCGTATGAGAAAATATTTTCGTATTTTGAGAGAAAAAATATGCAAAATTAAAAAAGAGTCCATACTCTATTTCATTTTGATTTAAAAAGAAAATCCTCTTCATAATCAATAACTTATCAATTTAATTGAAAATATTTTAGAATAAAATAAAATTTCCATTTCCATCACTTACTACACGTATGACATTTTTCAAGGATGGTGTTATGTATTTGTTTTTTAAATTTATAATTTTATATTTTCTAGAAAAAAAAACATTTAAAATGTATATTTTCCGTTTCAATATAAACAAATTAAGAAACTTATTTGATTTAAACGGGGTTTCATTCTTCACTGCCTCTCAGTCAAAATTTGGATGACTTATTGGTCTCTTTTCTTATCACATATTATTTAGAGACTTATTCAACACTTTTGGTTTTGAGAGTTCCTGGATAGGAGTGAATAAAATAAAAACTTTCAGAAAGTTGTTAGTCTGGTATGTTTAATTTTAAGTAACGTCAAATATTTGTACCTTTTGGATAAAACAAATGAATTTTAGATAAAATAAGGACATAATGAGACAACTATTCAGTTGTATATACAAATGTAACACCAATGTCTATATAAAACTCTGGTGATATTGCCAATAAGACAACTATTAAACAAAAGACCAAAGTGCAAGGATACAAATTATGACAATTCACCGCACATTCTGCACAATAAGCAAACCCCATAATAAGCTATAAAAGGCCTTGGGATTACAAAATGTAAACTAATTCAATCGAAAACACCTAACGGCCTGATTTAAGCTATTAACATTAAGTGAAAAAGCAGTTATGACAGACAGCAAGGAAGAACACTATTGGGCTAAAGACTCCTAGCTCTGATCAATACGATGTGAAATATCAACCTTTAAAATACAGATCATTCAAAATACACCTTATGACTCATTAGACTATTTTCATATTACCGACTTTTGACTCTGAATTATATAATTTTCGACAGGTTACCTTTTCTGTGGTAAGACATCCTGGTACTCGGTCAACTAAGAGCAACCAAAATAAGTAAAATCAAACACATAATCGGTGTAATTTGAGGGGAAAGTTTACTGTTCTCCGATGATTTTGTCATGTAAAGAAAATGTAAAGCAGTTAATTTTCCCAAAAAATTATACCAATTGCAAGCTTTATTTTACTTCTTTACCTTGCTCTTACTTGACTTGGTACCAGGATGACCTACCCCAGAAAAGGTAACCTGTCGGTAATATGAAAATAGTCTATTGGCTCAGAAATGACATACCTTTAAATACATACAGTCTCCTGTACCTGTCTACGACTGCAGCTCCTGTATTGATAGGTACCCTTGGGGTTAATACTTTCCTCGAAACTTTAGTAAAGCTCTTTTCTATACCATTCTTGTCACTCTCAAATTGATAGATTTTTCGATACCGGAAGGCGTAAATTCGACGATCATCACCTGTGGTTTAAGATAATGTTGAGATTGTTATCATTCAGGGTTGTATTCTTATAACTTATCTATTCGTTAGTGTGTTTCTGTACTAGTTTTGTATCAAATACACTGTTGTCTATGTGGTCTGTGTTTAAAGTGAAAAAAAATGTAGAATTCATTTATTCTTTATAAACCATATTTCTTTAAATCAATGAAAATGTTAAAAAAAAATTCTGTATAACAATTTTTAACTTTGGAATACATTGAGCCGAATCGCCGATTAATAAATAATTTCATATACATGTGATAGATCTTCTAAATTGATGATATACCATTCATAAATATGGAGTCGAATTTCAGATCACAGATACTTGGTTTCGTAGAGGGCCGTCTTGTTGTAACTCTTGGTCTTCTTGTTGTCACGCGTGGACGAGAAGTTGGTCTAGTAGCAGCTCTGCCACCTATATAAAGAAGTATAAATGAGAATTATTCAATTCAAAATCTGTTATAAAACGCTGTCGGCTCATGACTTCCCATAAAACTTTTTTCTGTTTGACATCAATACAGAATATACTTATGAATGTTTTGTGAATTTTATCTTGTTTAAAAAAGCATGAAAAGAAAAAGGGCAACAAAAAATCGTATATCGAAGAATGACAAACAGCGCTATGACAAAAATGAATTTAAATAGAGAAAAACAGGATATTTGTCTACAGGACATCACGCACCGACTACGTGTATCTCATTGCCACTTATAGTGCATCGCGAAATCCAGGTCAAAAGAGTTCTCTAGTCGATGCGACAATAACTTCATGTTTTACTTCTACCTTAAGGATGTTAGCTTCTCTTCTTTTTGAATTTTTGCCAGATATTCGGAATCCTCTGGTTTTGTCCATGTAGTGCCATTAAAAATTCTGCCCGCTAAACCCTACTTTTTTTTCATAATTTTATTTCATATAGTTTAAAAAGCCATATTTGAAAATCCCATAAATTTCGTTATTTTTTCATAGTTTTTGAAAGAAAAAGGGTGCCAATGTTAAATATATGAAAAGTCTAGAGAGAATCAGTTCCCGCCAAATTTTCAATGGCTTATATCTCGAAAACAAGCACACGGACCCTTCATTTTTTTCTTCTTTTTTATTGCCTTTATTTATATACTATCAATTTATAACAGTCTTTTAAAAAGCTTGTTATTTTGAAACAGATTAGCGAACATCCTTAAACCATAAATTTAACTTGATCGGAACGGTAGAACGAAAGCACTGATCGGAAAACACACAGTGACCCCTATTATCGTAGGCAGGGCAACACCAAGGGATTTACCAAGCGTTGCCAATCAAATGACGTCCACTAGAATATGCATGAAGTATGGTGTCCAAAATAATGTGCAATAGATACATGTAGCATCAAACAAAATAGGGCATTATTCCTTATCTCAATTCCAAACGTTTCCTTTTGTGTTAATCTATTGGTTGTTAACTTCCATACCGAAGATCAAAACGGATCCAAACGACAACATTTCGAAAATTCTTTATTTTTTGTAATTTTTCAACCAAATGGGTACAGCATTAGAGTCATGTTAGATTTATATATACGTTCCTTGACATACATTCTAAACGTATAATGAATGAATGGGTGAAAGAATGGCTAGCTTTTAATGAAATCATAAGGAAGCAACAAATATCAATTTATAGTTATTTCATGGTTTCCCAAGGTTAAATTTTCTATTTCGCCACCTCTTTCGCAACAACAATTTATATTTCACCACTTTCAATTTTATTTCGCATAACTAACATAATCATATTTTTCGTTTAAATTTATCCTTCTTTCTAACAAAAAAAATCAGTGCGCCGCATTGTTGTTTATTATAATTTTACACATCTATTTTTTTAATCTACATTATAATAAATAAACACTCTATAATAACAAACATTCACTTTTTACAAGATACTATAAAATCGCAATATAGATCATTAAAAATCATCAATTTTGACTTCTAGGAAAAAGGGATTCATCTTAAATAAGTTTATCGGATACTTCACGTCTAGTAGAAAGATAAAGACTTAATTCAGAGATTGACCTTACTTGGGAATATTTTTATTCATAACAACGGACAATCGTTAAAAAAATTGAGACGTAAAAACTATGCTTCAAACACGTGCGCTAAAACGATTGTAAAGTACCCACAATTATTTTTATTTAAGTTATTTTAAAGGATAAAAATTAAATAAGAGCCCAAGGTGAATTCCAAGTATTTTCTGATACTGGTAAAAAGTCCGAGAAACCCGAAAAAAGTAAACAAGGTTGACGATCGAGTCGAACCGTTATATTTCTTTCGCCAATTTCTTTCTCCAATAATGAATTTTAATCCCACAATTTTTATTATTTTGCAAAATGCGAAACTGGCGCCAGGGGAAACCCTGAATTATTTACATTTAATCCACAACCTTTCGCACTAGAGGTGGGCACGTTACCATAAGACTACGAGATAGTCAGTACCGTACAACATTATTTGTGTTTTAATTCTTTTACATATAATAAGAATAAAGGTGAAATCAAAATGGAGAAAAGGAACGCAAAGAAATATTCATATTCATTTCAATATTAAAAACGTTCTGTTGGGTGGTACTAGATTAATAAATCTCTTTTGTTTAATTATTTTCGTTTTCATCGTTTTATGTGTCTAAGTTTATATTTTCAACCCACCATTTAGAATGAAAATTAATGGGCTGAATTGCATTATAAATGATATACTAGTACACTTTCAAACTGTATACAACTCTCACCATATAGACTTTGCATTCTATAAATGTCGTCATACAGTAATTTGTAGTCGGGATCATATCCTTGATAATATGGTGCCATCAAAGCTTTTGAATTCGTCGAATGGCCCAGACCAAGTGCGTGTCCAAACTCGTGAGCAGCTACTATTTCCAAATTTGTACCTTCCTTTTTACCAAGTGTCCACTGTTCGTCATCGTCAAAATGTGTATCACCTGAGATGTCATGTGCACCAGGAAAGAAAGCGTGAGCAAGTGTCCGACCTGTGTAATTTAAATCAATTATTTTACATATATGTAACCGTAAATGTAACCGTAATATACATATGCACATTTATGGCTCTACAATCTGTCGATACCTGTATCCTGGCATTGCACAAGGTCATGTTTTACTCTGACTGTTAATGACGTCTTTACACATAATCCATTGGATGCTTGATGTGTACTGATTAATGTTTTAGTCTTAGATGCATGATTTGTTTATTAGTTGTTATTGGCTTTGAACTAGCCTGTCAGTAACTGCGAGTACTCTCAGATCTGTACTTAGAGTCTTTTTGTTGTGGGATGTACAATTACCCTGCCACATCCACTCTGTTTTTTGTTAGATGTATTTCTGCTTTGTATCAGCCCTTTTCAACTGATTTTTATAGCTTGTTCTTATTGTTACACCACTGTTCCAGGTTAGGGGAGGGTTGGCGCGCCTTCAAACTAGTTTAACCCCGCCACATTCTGTATGTGGCTGTCCCAAGTCAGGAGCCTGTAATTCAGTGGTTGTCGTTTGTTGCTGTATATCATATTTGTTTTTGGTCTCTTGTGGAGAGTTGTTTCATTGGCAATCATACCACATCTTCTAATTTTTATATTATATGCCATGTTTGTCTATTATCATTCTATTCATGTACAGTATGATGTAATATAGTAGTAAGCATAAATGGTTGTATCAATAAATTTCAAAATTTCTTTAAGATATGTGTGTGTGTGTGTTTGTATTCCAATTTCCAAAATATCAGAAGAATTGACCTGAAAATTAAAGGGTTAGCAAACATCTCATATTCATGCATGCATACATTAATTTTTTCTTATAGCATTTTCCCTGTAATACGTACATTCAAGTGAGTGTATTTTTGGTAATATTAGATAAAAGGTCAGTGGTAGATGCATAAACTCGAGTGCATAAATTCCTGTTTTTCACTATTTTCCATTATTTTTTAACATTGTGGGGATTTTTGTTTTTTAACATTTCAATAATTTACTTTATTCCATAAGTGTATCCCTATTCTTACCCTTTCCGTCAAATGGACTTCCATCGTAATGATCGAGGCGTTTGAAATCGATTAAAATGTCTGCGTCGCTTCCACCAACTTCCCGGATGTTAATGTTTGCCACATCTGTCCACTTTTTAAATGCATTTATAAATGAACGTCTGCAAGTAAAACAAATATACAAGGTTTTCTTTTCAAAAAATACTTTCGGATGAATGGGGATATATATTGAAAAATAAGTCGATTTCTTGACGAACTGATTGATGTATGGATGATAAAATGGACACTGAATAAATATATGAATGTGCGGTCCGTATTACGTTTATCAACTTCAAAATGTCACTCCAAAGAACGACTGGGATATAAAAGTATTGTCACCTGGACTTCTCCCACCAAGCAGTTAAACTCTTCTTTAGAGAGACGTATATTTTGCTGTTAAGGATGTACAAATACGCATTCACGTCCGAACTAAATGGGTGCCACATATAGATGTCTCTCTGCATGTTAAACAACCCTTGCAACAACTTTTGTTGGCGTCCATAGATGGTCGTAAATTCTGATTGGCAAATTGTCTGCCCCTATCCAAAGAACTTTACTTTTTAGATTTTTTGTAAACGTGTTTTCGACCTGGATATGCATGGAACATTTGCTACAGGACGCAAAGTAACCAACAATAATAAAGATAGTCAAAGTATTTTTAAATGGGTTTTAGTTTTTGAAATTTTGATAAGAAAAATAAATATTAGAAATTGTTATTGGCTTTTGCAAATTTACATATTTTTAGTTGTAGTAGTAAAAATAACTTCCTAAATTTAAAAAAATTAACATTTAAAGTATTGATTTTTTTTAATCAAACTTTCGAAGAATCATACCAGTTTGAAATATTGAATTGTGTCTTCCATTCCCTGCGTGGTGATGCATGCACAGTAGAAGACGCTTACCTTGTCGACGCACCCTGTCTCGCTACGTTGGGGGTTCATGATTGATTCCCTCGGTTTATTTCTTTTTATCTTATTTAGTGAGGGAGTATTTGTATATTCTAAATGAGACTTGAGTATCGGTAAACTATCGTGGTTTGATTACCAATTGATAAGTTTTCAAGCAGTAAACTCTTCTTTACAGAAAGGATATAGAAGATCGTAGCAAGGAAAGAATTTATATTCTAATTTACAAAGGCCAAAAACGACTGATAAATCTGCTGTTCATATCTATCGTATACAAATGAGACAGCAACTCAACAAAACAAACAACAAAGCAAAGAGAGAGCTATTTAGAGAGCAACTTACGGACTTCTTCAGTAGATAGATTTAATGTTTATACATATATCTAGATCTCGTTAGATTTGAAGTATATTTCTATGTTTTTTAACTTAAGATTTTAAGCTTTTAACTATAACTTGTATTTTAACAAGAACTTTGTCAAAGCTGCGGATCTATAACTGTTATGACTAAATATACCTTTGAGAAGAACCTCCAAGCTGTCTTGTGTATCCCATAACTTTCCATGTTGCCTGATTATTTGGCCATTTGTAAACTAAAATTAAATAATGGTTATTCTTGTCATTTAATAGTTGAGACGTTTAGAGTCAGACGGATATCAAGTTATCAACAGACTCAATACACCTTTTTTCAAATAAAAATTTGCTCACTACATGTATTACATGTAATCTATTTCTCCATTCAAAACCATTTGCTGTTTTAAACTACGCATACATGGCAGACAATACTCAGTAATCGGTAGTCATTCGGAAACTTAACAGTTTTTTCCTGATGCATGTCGATGCTGAGCTGATCTTTTAAAGTTCATTCCTGTATCATGGTAAGTTACAGTTTAAGTTAACGTATCATTCCGGTTGATCTACTTTTCCATGACAGAAATGTGGCCCTTTGAACTTGGAATTGGTGTTTTCCAACACATACATGTACAGTTTTTGTAATTTTCCCATGAGCTAACTATATATGTTCGATATAATTCTCTAAATTATAATTAATTAGTGTTCACCAATTGGTTACATTTAATCAGGAGGTTAGTAAGTTGTTAGTGGGCTCGATAATTTATTTATCATTGATAAGGATATAAGTTATTTTGGTTGACCGTTATGGAATTTATGTTTCAGAGATGATGACGGATACGTTCCAAACGTCGTAACCACAATCCCGTCCTCCTTTTCCCCGAATGAGACCTACCGAATTATACTTATCACCGGGTTTGTACTTACATGAGCAACACGACGGGTGCCACATGTGGAACATGATCTGCGTACCACTCCGGAGTAATTGACTTCACGCCCGTGTTTTGGCTGGGTTCGTGTTCTTTATTCTTTAGTTTTCTATGTTGTGTTTTGTATACTGTTGTTTGTTTGTTTTTTTCTTTTTTGCCATTGGTGTTGTCACTTTGTTTTCGACTCTTTCATTTACTAGTAGTTTGAAAGTTGAACATTCTCACCATTAGAAAGTGGTTTCAGCTGTACACTCTTTGGATCAGTATTAATTTCACCAGGTCTTTGACTTGGTCTTAGAACATCCTGAAATCCACATCTGGGTGATTTCATCTTAGTAATGGTTTTCTTGTCCACTTTACCAGTTATTGGTAATCCAGTCATTTTCTGAAATTCTCTGAAATATAGGTATTTAAATGTTTATTCAAATGAAAAGTATGTTCAGAGAAATGAATCCAGATAACTAAAGGAACTAATATACAACTGACGGTCCGTAGGAAACTAAAGATGAAGATTAGGTAATGATAAACTCGAACTTCATTATAAAAAAGGATTTCTGAATTCGGACATTAAGAAAATAGCAAGAATATATCGATCATCAGTTATATTCACAAAACAATATGTTTGTGGATTGACAAATCGGTTAAACTTATTTGGAAGTGTTTCATCCTACAACCAGGGATGAGCTGTCAAATTGACAGCAAACTGGCATTCCTCTATTTTGAAAGGCGTGTTCATGATCAATTGACCCGTCACATTCTATATCTAATTCCAATCTCTCAAGAACCATAAATACTGAACGGCAAGAATAAAAATCGTCGATATCAAGCTTGACCACCATTTTGTCATCAGTAACAGCATATTAAAATTTTAAGAGCATTGGTTCAACGGTTCATAATTAATTGCACAAAGTGCCATTTTCAATCTATCAAGAATCATAACTCCTGCACTGCAAAAGTGAAAATCATCAATATCAAATTTGACCTCCATTTTGTCATTAGTAAAACATATTATTCTTTAAAAGCATTAGTCAAGAGGTTCATAAGTAATTGCACGGAAAGACATTAAGTGTCATTTTCTAATAGATCAAGGACCATAACTCCTGAACTTGACCTCCATTTTTTCATCAGCAACAATATATTATAATTTGAAAACTATTGGTAGAAGGGTTCATAACTTATTGAACGGAAACGACATTAAGTGCCATTTTTCAATACATCAAGGACCTGAACGGTAAAAGTGAAAATAATCAATATCGAACTTGACCTCCGTTTTGTCACTAGAATCAACATATTTTTAAAAATAAAAGGTTGAACGGTACATAAGTTATTGCACGGAAAGTGTTGACAGCAGCTCACCCGCCGTACTTCACCAATTTGATATCTGAGTTGATTTTTCATTCGGAAAACCCAGTTAAAAATGAAAAATTGTCAATTAAAGTTTATAAAATTGCCTTTCACAGCAATTTGTAGTGCAGATTAATATATTGATTTTATTGAAATTTTATAAAAACTATTGTTAAAATATGCAAGTAGTATTAGTCAAACTCTTTAGTTTTAAAATTTTCCTTAGTTACATCCGTTTTAAATTTGAAAGGGGGATGTGGCCGAAAGTTAAAAATCAATTCATGAGTTCTCAATATTGAAAATGTTAAATCAAAACTATTTAATACGGTTGCAGTTACGTTAAAATAAATGTCAACCAGATTTAAGCAATTAGACTTGAAGGGTTATGGATGTCCATAGAGCTTGCATACTCTCGCCCTTCCGGAACACGTTGCTTACCCTTCTGGAGCACCTCCGATTACCCCGGTGTTTGGTGGGGTTTGTGTTGCTCGTTAAAACTGTTTTAAAAGTTTTAAAGCTTGCTAAATCGTCCACTAGTATGACAGTTGTTTATTATTGCGTCACATTGACAAAATTGGATGAGCAACCCAAACACACATAATTGGTTAAAGTGACAATAATTAATTGGAATCCAGCGGCTAACAACACAACTTACTTAAAAAGGTCAAACAAAAATACAAACACAATCAATGTAAATATGACAAAGACGCCAAAACTAAGTTTGTAGTATATAGTGTATACGGTAAAGTAAACCATAATGACATATACACTTTCCCGATAAAGTTAAAATTAAATAAAAGATAAATGCAAGGGTATACAAAAGGAAAACAACACTATAAAAAAGCTTATACGTCCGAATCGCATCTCTTGACCCACCTGTATCAGGAACGCCCAAAGCAAAAAAAAACCGAAAGCTGGATGCACAAATACAAAGCCACGTATAGAGTCATGCATAGGTAAGTGTCTATTCAAGTAACTTTACAAAGCAAATCATTCCCAAAACTGCAATGCAGTTATCTAATCGTGCCATTTAAACGAAGTATTTTATTCAGTATTCTCTTATTTTTTTTCTTAACTTTACGTATGATTTTTCTTTTATTTAATCTAATTATAGAATAAAACCTTAATGTAGCACAGTATTTAACTAATTATACTGTAACTATTCAACTACAAAAGAAAAAAAATCTTTTATATAAAAAGAGTTTTCAGTACTTGTCGAAGTAGCTATAAGCCAGTTTTACAAGCACTTTACTTTAATACGTAAAATACCGGAAAATCCCTCTTTGTTGATTAGCCCTAAATCATCTATGAATCAGTACTTATAAGTATTGTTTCCTTTGCTCATATACTTGTTCATCTTTAATTTTGATAAAATACTTATATACTCAATAACTGATTATACACAGTGGCCACTGACCTTCAATTTCTTATTCGTTGCACGAAACCGGCTTTAATAAGATTGCATCAAAATCTTATTGCAGCAAATTTGCCCTAAATATGAATTAAAGGAGTTGTGAGGTATATGTCATTGAGACAGTGACCCAACAACACAAATAATCAAAAAGACATCTAAAGTACAACATCCGGTCTTCAGCAATAGACAGGTGATTATACAATGTTATGCTCTAAATCCAAAATCCATAAAAGGTGTGAATAAATTAAACAACTATCTGTCATTAACACTTAATTTTTCAATAACAAAAAAAAATAAAATACGACACAAGACAACCAATGACTGGATACGTGGATTGTGGCGGAATAAACGAATTAATTTTTTTTCAATGCTCCCCCTTTAATTTAATCCGATCAGTGAGCTATATATTTCTGTATGTGCCTGTTCCATGTCAGGAGCATGTAATTCAGTGGTTGTCGTTTGTTGCTGTATATCATATTTGTTTTTCGTTTATTGTTTTGTACATACACAAGGCCGTTAGTTTCTCGTTTGACTTATTTTACATTTTTCATTTCCTGGCCTGTTATAGTTGACTATGCGGTATGGGGTTTGTTCATTGTTGAAGCCCGTACGGTAACCTATAGTTGCTGATGTCTACGTCGTTTTGTCTCGTGTAGAGAGTTGTCTCGTTGGCAATCTTACCACATCTTCTTAAATGTATATAATCAACGGTACATTAAAGAACATTTGATAAAAATTAGTTTATGAAATCTTTCACCTCTAAAATAACGACATAACACAGTGGATAAACTGAAATAATAAATAATATTATACGTCTCAAAGAATGGCGCAATGCAGTTATTGAAAGCAAGCTGAAAGAACTTAACTAGCTGATATAAAATTATGCCGTCCTACATTCTTATTCCGGTTGATGAATTAACTTTTTAGACTATTTGATACAAACTTTACCAAGTAAAAAAATATCTTTTCAATTTCAAGAAAATATGATAAATTCATTTTTACGAAGACTTTTATTACAGCATTTCTTCAATGTTTATATGAATAAAAGGAGTAGTGGTTACTTGCCAATGAGGCAGTAACTCGATGACACACAATGGTTTATTTCTGTTTAAAACATAACACGAAATTGGACACCATCTTTTCTATCCCTTTCTAGGAACTAATTGATGTACTTTTAATATTTGATATAAATTACTTTAATTTAAATTTATCATTCAAGACGCAAAGAAATATCGAGTATTTCCATACAGATACAAGCCATACCAATTCTAATCGTATATTTTGTGTTTAAAATGAGTATTAACTGATTTAAAGCATAAATAAATTATCGAAATGGATGGAAATTACCTGACTGCTCGTTCTCTGTCGGATGCATCATGACCGCCTTCTGAACCTTTAACAACATCCATATAGCCAAAGGTTTCAAAAAAGCCCTGTAAATATCAAAATAATACATGTACCAATACATTACTGCATTTTTATGTCCATATAATAAATATCCGTATTTATCAACTGAAGGAATAGAATCTCTATCGCATAATGCCGAAAGGTTATTGAATTGCCACAATGTTTTGTTTTAAAAACATAATGAAGCATTTTGAGCTTGCTTTTCGGTATGATTATTTTTCGCACTGGCTAAGTTTACTCTCAGAAAGCTATTTAACGCCATCAAATGGTATTTAAAAGTCTCTGTTAAATCTGTTCTCAATGTTTTAGATCTCCTTCCTGTCTGTATTCTTTAAATACATGTATAGGTAATTTTTCTCTATTTTTGATCTGTTTGTCCATTATTCTCTATTCTTCATGTTTTAGCACCCTTTTATTCTCTATTCCTTATTTTTTTTGCCTATTTGCTCTATTTTTTATTGTTTGTTTGCACATTTTTCTCTAACCTTTGCCCATTATTCTGTTTGTAAACCCCATCCAGACCCTCCAAAACAGAGTAGTAAAAATTTATAAAGACTGCGGAGGTTGCATGCGACCTTTGATGTAGCATAATAACATAATTATATGAACCGAAGAAATTTGCTTCATATCAAAATGTATATCATGTTACATATTTCAAAGTACATGAAGTTTCATTGTTATTTTTTTCCATTAATACACAGGGCTCTATTAGTTTGTATTCCCTTGTAACGGTGTGAACATGCATATTTTCTACTGCAATCCTTAAAAACCCAAACTAACTAAAAGGACTTTAATAGATTAGCAAAATAATTTAATCATGCAAATTCACGAGGAGGAAAACCAAAGATTTGAAAACTTTTCTTAATTTATTAAATAAATGTTTGTTTAAAAGCTTGGTCATTTTTTGTTTTCTTGTCTTTCATTTTTGCGACTGTCATACAAGTGGGAGGTTTAGCTAGCTATAAAACCAGGTTTAATCCACCATTTTCTACACAAGGAAATGCCTGTACGAAGTCAGGAATATGACAGTTGTTTTCCATTCGTTTGATTTGTTTGAGCTTTTGATTTTGCCGTTTGATGAAGGACTTTCCGTTTTAAATTTTCCTTGGAGTTCGGTTATTTTTGTTATTTTACTTTTTGTGAGGTATTGTAAATATGCCTGCCTGTTTTTAAATTGGAGTGTCATTTTTTATAGTCGACTGCGTATTTGATTTATTACAAAATGCTAAAAAATTATTTTTGAGTTATTGATGGTAAAATAATAATAAAACAACTCTAAAATATAAAATGATTACTTACATCAACCTGGAAATCGTCTTGTCGCTTTGTTCTAGAGAGAGTATCGCTATCTTCTGTTAGCAGAAAGCCCGGCAAAATTGCAAAAACCAAACTTATCTTAAGAAACATGCTGGACAGCATGGTCATATATCAATGTCGCTAAGCCGATCGAATTTTTGTTATTTATATTCTCCAGTGACACAATATAAGTAGGTACCTTAAGTACTGTTCCGGTGTCGTAAATACATTGTCGGCTAGAGTGTTTTCACATTTCAATTTTACCGAACCTACACCCTAGGAAAATGAAGATCTGTACTAGATAATACTTAAAATGTACTTTAGGATGTTATCTGTTATAATTATTACCCCTTAACACTATGTCAGAATAGCATGCTGCGCGTTTGAAGTGAGAGAACGAAATTACCTTGCGATTTCATAAATGAAAAAACATACAAAAAGTATAATGCGATTCAGGTGCAAATAACAAAAACAAATGAGATGAATTCTGAAATAAAACTTGAATTTCAAATTTTGAGTATCGATTGTAGTCCAAAATAGTATTTTGAATTATCTTTAAAACAGAAAAAGATGAAAAGTTTTGTTGCTTCACATGCTTGTGTTTGCCGCTCCTTCGCCACACCAATATTTATTTTTACTTTTGTATTTTGTGTTGCAGAATTAACATTAATACACTAAGATTATACTGGGTTTTTTTTTTTTTTTTTTAACGTAGTTTTTTTAGCCATATATCTTGGGTTTTTCAAAATAAGATTTTGAATTTTAGTTGTCTCAGTTCACAACTCGGATAAAACAATTTATCGGGAAATAAATTCATTGTTATGCAAACTAGTCTATTGACATCTATGAATTCCTGTTGTCACCAGTTTTCTCGAAATAACAATTTTGTCGTAGATTTAATCTTCTAACAGGATACTCATGAAGTACTACTCACTAGACATCTTTATCCAAACTTTGAAAAAGGAGGAAGAGTTTAGATAAAAAAAAAACAAGTTGGTAACCTGATCAGCAGTTGTCGTATGTCGTTATATAAATAACACATAGCTGAGAGGATGATAGAGCAGATTGTTATCCCGAGAAAACATTGTCAACCGAGGCGAAGACAAGGTTGACAAGGGTTTTTCGAGGGTACCAATCTGCTCTATCTCCCTCTCAGCTATGTGTTATTTAATTATTATACTGATTGTTCTATCATTATTGTCTTTTATCAAATTTTAAATGGAAAATACTTAGCTATGACGTCATGTATATAACGTTACAGTTATAAGAAAAACAACAAAAGTGAAGCAAGATTTATTTTTTTATTTTGACAGTCTATGAAAAAGTTCTGAGGCCAAAACGTAGATTGTAGCATTGTCTTTAAAACTATTGATGTAAATCCACTTCATTGTCCTTTAAATTATCGATTTTTGATTGGTCTGCATGACAGGGTGACATTCAAAAAATTGTCTCCCGCTGAGCAATGGGATAGAGTAAATTACTCCCTCGTATTAGCAAATCAAAATCTGGCATTTTAACGTGAAGTATAATAAATCTTAATATCTTTCGTTATTTTGAAAAATTGGATCTTTGATTGTTTCTGTCAAGTTTATTCACAACGTCCATAGACTCGGGTCGATTTAGAGCTTGAAATATTACATAGACACCAGTTTATTGTTGAGACTGTATGTTGCCCTCTAGATGTATTTTGATTATTTTTGTCTCATTGCTGTATATCCCAGATTTCATTCATGTTAAATGACCACGAGCTAACAAGTGTTATGTCTTACATGGGATTGTAATGAACTGTGACAGCATTTTCTTATTCTATTCTAAATATAAAGTTTTCGATTGACGCAATTTGAGCAAAAGTTACTTCCCTTTACGGTCGCCATATTGGAGGAATACGTGCACAATTTCCTTCATAAATCTGTAAAATTCAGTAACTTGACTGTCATGCTGCAGCTAGTCTTTAGAAAAAGAGGTTTTCTCAACAATTTTAATTTGTTTTAGCCTTGTTCAATTCATCACTACGAATTAGTAAGGATATCTTATCAGATTTGTTTGTACATGTTTCGATTTGGTTAGTCAAATAAAAAAATCAACCATTTACACCTCGGAAATGACGGCCAAGGGACGTAACACAAAATCAATTTAAATCATATCGAAACCGATCTTGAAATCCATTTGCCACTCAATGATCAAGTGCAGTCTTAAGTCATATTTGTTTACTAGTACTCTTACATGAGATAAACATCATTTCGGATACTTATAAAGACGACGTACTCTTCTTCCTGTAGCTTACAGTGCGTAACCCGTTTAATCTGTTTACCTTTATCATAATGCACTTAAAACTGAACGCATATTCTTCCCGCCTTCCTATTTTAAGATTTTTTTTCTTTTTTCGTATAGGATACACACATGTAATAATATAAAATACAAACATTAAATTGTAACCATTGTAAAAGCATGCATATGTATTTTATACGATCCATGATGCGTCGGTTTATGCCCGTCAAGGTATTTTTTTTTTTTTTCTGGTGGTGGGATTTTTTTTTTTTTTTTTCTGGTCCGAAGTACAGTTACGAAGTACAATTTACCTTGATGAACTAAACATTCAAATGTTGTAACTTTACATTCGAAATTTTACAAGCAGGTTTTCTTTCAAGTATTCTTTAAAAAAAATATGGTGATTTGGCTAACAGGTTATAAAGAGGTGAATTCAATAGGGTAAAAATATCCTTTTTGGGCATAGAAACCGTAAAAATAACTATAAGGGTCGCGCTCTCATCCTTGATTAACCTCAAATCCTTAAACAAACTGACTAGGAAATTAATTAAAAAAAATCACATTTAGGTCAAAGCGAAGTTTAGACCTATATGTGTTAACTTCTATGTCATTTGGTCTCTGGTGGAGTGTTGTCTCATTGGCAATTACTAATATATTGATACTGATACTGAGGAATATGATCCTTTGCAGTATAATGTATTGCACTCGAAAGTTTGTGCAAAACGATATAAGCTTATAAAAAATATATGTTTGAAACCATATTCCTAAATATGCGACAGCAAGACCCAGACTATGGTGTTCATTTGGATGTGCAGGATGTATAAGGCACACAAGTCCGATCGCAATGGTTACTTTCACTGCGGTGTTAATGTTGGAAGAGTGTTACGCTATTTACATACTAAATCTCCTCACAAGAAATGTATGTGGTTCATCGGTGACATTTTGCAAAGCAATTTTTGTTGTCCCTACCAAACATTTGCTCTTTTAAGCTATGTCAGTCCAAGATTCTCACCATCCATCCGGTTGACCCATTTTACATCACAGCAAGCAAACAGCTTGATTTACCCTATTGTTGGCTATCTTTAAATTTGGCTGGTAAATCTTGGGAGCGTTTCATGTAAATATTATCAAATAAATGGATAAGTGCGGTTGAAATAAAAAGTTTATCAAAATATCCAGAACCGATTCAAATGCACAAAAAAATAGAGAGATGAGAATGATAAATATTTTAATCATACAAACTTCGGTACAGCAGTCACAAAACGACTATCAAAATAAATATTCTATATATAAATATTATATGAATATAAGCAGAAATCTCAAAATTAGATATTTAAAAACCACAAAGCTATGTAACATGTCAAATTTCTCTATTCACGAGACGTTATGGATTGTCTGGTATGAACGGGATGATTTAAAATGCCTAGCTGAATTTGTCATAGAATTGCTAACTTTGAATTTTGATGCTAATTTAACAAGCTTATGTAGCTGAGATTTGTTGTTCTGCATTTTACAGAAATTGTCAAAGGCACTGACTAATTTCTCTTTGTCATTTTCATTTTCGTCTCCTGTCTTGTTTACTCGGTGATTGTGTTGAACTTGTGAGTTGAAGTATTCTTGCTCTTTGATGAATTCTTTAACCTTTTCTTGTAGAGTAGCTTTTTTCTCTGATGGTTCGCTATCGTTTTCAAACCTTACAGATTTTTGTCTTGCCAACTTTGGACGACGTGAGTCAGAACTTGCAGAATGTGAGTTAGATTTGCCAGACTCTGTTCTTCTCATAGATATATATTCTGTATTAGATCTTCGCAAAGATGGTTTTTCAGGACGTGTTTTGTCTACTTCTATTATAACTGGTGGTAATTCGTCATTTCTTTCAGGGAATTCTGTAATATAAGTAAAATCACTTCTTTTGGTGCCTGAGGTTTTCTTTTTGACCTGACTACTCAACTGTGGGAACTTAGTATCATTTGTATCTGATTTTCTTCTGTATGACCCTAAACTATTTGGTAAAGGTTCGGATTGTGCCCTCTTTTGGTTTTCTAATACTTCATCCCTTATTTTATTCAGTGCATCTGAAAATGATCGACGATTTAGGATTTCTTTCCGCAGGTCGACAGGAAAATTATCCAGAAAACGTTTAGCTTTCAATATATAGTAGTCGGTAGCTTTTTGACCAAGATGATGCTTTTCCAGTTGTAAGTGTTTCAGGAATGAATTTTGTTTTAATTCGTATCTGGTAACCTCGTCTTCACACTTGGAACCAAGTGATATGTGTTGTTTCGATAGTAAATTGGTTTTTCTTGGTGCCAATATTAATTCAATATTGATGCTATGGTCTTGCCATGAAAGGTCTCGTGTTTTCAGACAACATAACGACATGATCAGATCTAAAAAGATAAAAAAAAAACATTGATGAGAATTTAAAAGTCCTTGTCTGCCTGAAACGAACGAAGAAAAGTAAAGGAAGAAAAAAATCTAGGTGCAATCAAAACACATAATTCAAGAAAGACAGATAGAATCATTCCAAATGAGGAAGGACAAACAAACGATCTACACAAAAACTACACAGAAAACAAAATATTGAGCAACACGTACATCACAAAAAAACAATCATGAACTCGGGTTCTTCAGAAGGTTAGGAAACCAATGATATCTTTTGCATCAGAATATATGGGCCTGTTTATATGTAATACGGACATTTTTCGTAACGGTTAATGAAACCTACGATCTCACGTTTATTGACAGGGATTGTCACCAAAGTGACAACATCCTTAAAATTAATTTGAATTTCGTTGAATTTATAGATTAGATATACAAACTTTATTAGTGTGCATTTCAAGCGGCGTTGAAATAGAAGTACTTTTTTTCTCTCTCAAATTTTTTTACAGATAGCACTTGTATTACAAACGAACTTAAACAGTCTTTGGTTTGGAGATTATCAACTTACCTTGACTTGTCCGTGTCAGTGTTACGAATCTTTATTTGAAATGTGTAATATTCGGTTATATTAAGTCAGATTAGAATTGCTGATCATTATTCAATGAACTAGTACCCGCAATGATACAAACAATTAGTACTGGGAATACGTATATGTATGAAAATAATAAGACGTTAATCCAACGACATACATGTAATAGCTAGCAAATTACAAAACATGGCTAATTTACCGTGATATCCTAAATCGACGGGATTTATTTAATTTTAAATGCATTCTGATAAAACATACATAATATAACATCACAATTACATTTCAATACATCAGTAGTAGTATAATATAGCAGACAGCCTTTAGAGGCTTATGAAACACTAACAATATTCATACAAGCATATAAACATTCAAAGAAAAAATAAAAACTATAAATTAATCTTTTTGAAATCTGAGGTTATTATAATTGGTTAAAACAGCTTATGTTTCTGGGTTGTTTTTTTGTTTTTTTTTGTTTTTTTTTTGGCATTGTTCTATTATATCATTGCATAAGTGTAAAAATGTTTTAAAAAAAAGCAGAAATCTCATTTTAAGTAGAATTGTCTGTAATGTCTATGTATCCATATCCATATATAGATATACTGGGAAATCATTATAAGCAGTTAATATACGGAATGGGATATTATTAAACTTTCTGAAGCAACCCGAATTTATGGGAGTATGAATCGAGTACGCGTTTAGTGTTGGGCGCTGTTTGAATGCGAGTTACATGATGTCGTTATGGTTTATTGTTTATAGATCTTTGTCTTATGATTTCCTCAATTTTTATTTTCCTATAGATTTTCGATTTTTTAATTTTTTTTAAGTTAAACAGTCTATTCGGTACTTTATTTGTCTTCTCACAAGAGCCTATACATATTAAGTAGATTTGTAACGTACCTTGACCTATAATGGTTTACTTTTATAAATTGTAACTTGGATGGAGAGTTGTCTCATTGGCACTCATACCACATCTTCCTATATCTTGTAACATAGAAATATAGCACTTCTCCCATAAAACAATTTTACACAAAAATGAACTTGACATATTAATAGAAACAAAACGCTGTAATACAAAAAGTTAAGAAATTAAAAAGTATATTTAATAGGAATAGAAAGATGTAAATCGATTTACTTTGTACGTCACGAGTCATCAAAAGTTGAAAATTGGGTTAACAGAAACATTCAATGATATGCCAAAAATATATTCATACATGTATTCCTTAAAATACAAGAATATAAAGATACATGTATTACTGAAGAAAACCATTGACGATATTCACTACCCGGGTCAGACACACGCGACTGGGTAAACTGTTTTTAACCATTGTCAAACCTCTCCCTTCAGATTCTGATCAATGAAACTGAAAAAAGGGATATTTGCCAATGAGACAATCTAAGCTATATGCTTGTATGCAACTACAGGTTACCGTACGACCTTCAACAATGAACACAACCCGTACCGTATAGTCAGCTATAAGAGGCCCCGACTCTGCAAAACAATTCAAACGAGAAAACCAACAACTTGATTTATGACAAAACATTAGACGAAAAACATATATTTCCATTAAGTCAGGACGAAACTTTTCTGAAGAGGTCTTGTAAATACCTCGATTTGTCAGAACCGCTGGGGTGCAAATGAATGAACGATACAGTTAAAAGGAAAACGTAAGTGTAAAATGTACCTGTAAAGTCCCTTTCCATCGAAGCAAGATAGTTCTCAAATTCCTACTTGTTTTTTTTTCACTGTTGTGGAGTGAACGTAAATTAGATAAAACAAAACGACACACAAAAAAAAATACCCACAAGGCAAGACCCATTGGTGGCCTTCGGCTGTTGTCTGCTCTATGGTCGGGTTGTTGTCTCTTTGACACATTCCCCATTTCCATTCTCAATTTTATCTAATTTGGTTTTCAGACTTTCTGCACATAAAAAAGCTTCCATCAAAATATTTTCAAACTTCTAACCTAATAAGGTTTAAATACATAACGTGCATACCAAACTAGATATTGAGTATGGATCTAATGAATTATACAAATATTACCCTATCAGACTATAATTTTTAATTGTTTTAATTGCTTTCTAATTCGTTAAGGAAATATTTAGACACATTAACAAAATATTAACATTTACCTTAGCATATACGAATCAAACGTTGTCCATTCTTAACTTTCCTCTTATTTTAACTTTTAATCGCTATGCCTCTCCAGTATACATTATAATCCTACTTGACACATATCTATCGATATTAAATACTAATTAAATTGAATCATAAGAAAAGATTAAATAATAAGAAAAGATTATCATACAATTATTTGTTTAAAAATCTAAGCTCAGAACAAAAGTAGGTGTGAATGTGATTAAATTTTAGAAAGTAATAATCTTCTTTCAAAAATCTGCACCTTTTGGGGACTAGTAAAGTAGAAACAGTTGAGACAAGAACTAATATACGTACACTTGGAAGCTTCGAAGGTTACGTCACCCCATGGATGACCCCATGGTCTACTTAAGATTTGATATTTTTGCACTTTCTTTTGACCATTTATAAATTCGTTTTGTCAATGAAAAATACAGTATTACCATTGCTTTCTATCAACTTATTTATTTAGTTGTCATCTTCTGTAGTACCATAATTGTCAATGTTCTTTGGAACTGATGTTTAGGTAACATACAATTTAGAAAATTGCCGTGTGCATGGGTCTCAATCTGAAAGGCATGGCTTTACTATAAACTGTAAATTAAGAGGAAACTTCAAAATCTAAAACCTGACATCACAAATTTTTCGCAGACTTAATCTAATAATAATCAGAAGAAAATTAACGATACAGACATTGAAAATAACAATAAAACTGAAAATCCCCCTTAGTAAAAGTAGGGCAAAATTTACCCCCCCTTTTTTTCTTGACATAACAAACAAAACAGGCAAACAAAAAAGACTGGAGATATATCTGGAGAAGATAAAGACTAGGTTGCTCTTTTATATCGCCATTTATCCTTCATGCTGGGTAGCGGGAGACATGAAAATGCGCCTCGTTCTTGAAATAATGATTTTATACTTATTATGCAACAGTTTTATTACTACATGGGGGACTAAATTTATAATTTATCTATCACTGGAAGAATAACGGACCAAACTGATTTCCCAACATTTGCTTCTGAATTCATGAATGTGTTAACTAGGCCATTCGTTCGAAGACTTAAAAGAATATATATCAGGCTACAAAACTGAATATAATTCTAATTGAGGTATATTTGTGTTCTGTTTGTGAGCTTCCAGCTCAGTTTTCATATTGATATATCCATAAATCAAGAAAGAAAAAAAGTTGTTTCATCCAATATTAAGTACTCGACATCGTTCATGGGTTACCATGTAGAATATGTATACTGATAAAACGTCTGACGTGTGCTTTTGATACATTAATTTTAATTAACAACAAGTCTGCTGGATTTATTTGCGTTACCCGCTTTTTATATTTACCTTTTTATGTGGATCGTTGATATATATTTCTTCAGATAGAATTTTCTTATACTTTGCAATAATGTAGATTTTTCCATGCTTTTTTAAATATACGATAAAAAGTATGTGCCACCGTGCTATTTTTTCAAGCTATAAGTCGTGCATACATTATTCATGAAAAAAACACTTTTTGTGAATAAAAAGAAATCTATTACATAGAAGGTCGGTATTATAATATGCTTTAAGAAAATAAAAATAAAAATGGTGTCACCGAATTTGTTTTCTTGCTACAAGCAAAAAATGAAATATCATCAAAATTCCTTTATATATTTTTTACTATAAGTGTTATCTCCCCTTAAATGGATAAGTTGAAAAATTGATTCAAACAAAAACAAATATTTGGTATTTGTAAAAACAGTCTAAATAATGCAATGAATTACTTATTTTTCTTTATTCAAATAAACTGTCTTACACATTAATTGCCAATCTGTCTCAAAATTTGCAGATTCAAGCAAAGAACAAGACCGATTGTGTACTGCTATTTTACAATCCAAGATAGCGGTATACAGTTAATCTAACTTTATGGGATCTTGTTTACCACAAGTCTTAAATAAAAAAAAACAAAGATTATTTTGTTTAGAAGTTAATAAAAAGGTATATAATAGATCATATAAATGATGTTGTTAATGCTGTAAAGGGATGCTGAATATACAATGGAAAACAAAAAATGTTATGTTTCGAAATACATAAGCAGCTATATTATAGATCATATAAGTTATATTGTTATTGCTGTGCAGGGGGAAAGTTTGCGTAGTGTTAAAAAAAGAAACCAAGGTGGCAATTAAAAATCATAAGTCGCAGAAAAACGGAAAATACCATGACAAAATACAAAACAGCGAAAAGACAAAAAACAGCATACAAATGACAGATGACAACTGATATGTTCCAATTGTCGTAACTACAATCCCGTCCCCTTTCCCCCGAATGTGACCTACCGAATTAGATTATCACCTGGTTTGTACTAACATGAGCAACACAACGGGTGCAACATGTGGAGCAGGATCTGCTTACCCTTCCGGAGTACCTGAGTTCACCACCAGTTTTTGGTGGGGTTCGTGTTGCTCAGTCTTTAGTCTTCTCTGTTGTGTTTTGTGTACTGTTGTTTTTCTGTTTGTCTTTGTCTTTTTTAGTAATGGCGTTGTCAGTTCGGTATCTTTCGCCTCTCTTATACAAAACGCTACACAAAAAAACTAAAAGCCCGCAAATATCACCTTGGATGATACGATTCATAGAATATACACAATGATTTAATCTTGCACACAGATTTTATCGTAGAATTCGCGAAATTAAAACTCCTGAATATAAACCACTTAACAGCAAAGTGTTTTTCGCGTTGCAAACTGTGTGTCGGTTGACAATAATATTGTATTCATTCAATTTTAATTGCCATTTTTTCCATGGTCGCTTACCTCTGGGCCTGGTAGCCCAGGTCAGATATTATTATTAAGGCAGCTACACGAATTAAGATTTTTTTAAACAGATATTATACAAAGTCGAAAATATCAACCAAGTCTTTTACTAATTTATGTTATTGATTTTTTTTTTGGTGTTTTTTTTTTTTTTGCAGTGGCAGACAAAACCTGGAGACAATCACAAACAAAAAGTCAAAGAGCAGCAAGCATCATAAACCTCGTCAATATTTATCTATGTCATTTCTTAATGTTTTTCTATCATTTGGAGAGCTCAGAATTAATGGCACATCTTCGATTGTTTCTGTAAAATTTATTCACAAATTTTATAGACTCGGGACAATTTAGAGCTTGAGATGTCGGAGCCATTTCTCTCTTGTTGAAGACTCTTTGTTGCCCTCTAGTTGTCATTTGGGTTTTTCGTAGTTTGGCTTTGCTGCCTCATTGATGTATGAGCCACATCTCCTTTAATATTCACAATATCATAGTCAAAATTAAAATTTACCAACCAGGTTTTTTTTTAATTTTACGATAGACAATTCGAATCTCTTTCAGAGGTTAAAATCTATGCAAGTCAATGAACGTATTGACGTTCGATTAACATTTCTGCGCAGGATATGTTCAAAACCAAAATTTCATAATGACAAAGATCGAAAGTTACACACGAAGTTGAATAATAAAATGGACCGTGAAAAAAACGATCCGATATAAGCGCAACCAATCTGAGAATGAAGTCACCTCAGTTTTTGTTTTATAAAATTATCCGTAATAGATAATGGTTAATGCCGAATTATAGACTGATGATACTTTTGGGAACTATCAATGAAAAAAACACTATATAAATTCCATGCGTCCGACGCGCTTTTCTATGCGGCTGTCATACTGTGAGAGGTTTAGTTAGCTATAAAACCACCATTTTCTACATAAGGAAATGTCTGTACCAAGTAAGGAATATGACAGTTGTTTTCCATTCGTTTGATGTGTTTGAGCTTTTGGTTTTGTCATTTGATAAAGGACTTTCCGTTTGGAAATTTCCTTGAGTTCGGTATTTTTGTTATTTTACTTTTTTCTGGATTTACATTTATCAGGAACGCTCAAAGCCGAATATTTGAAAGCCAACATAAAAACTGAAAGTGTTGAAGAACTATATGTGACGAAAAAGGACCTAAAAATAATAGCCAAATCAAATTGCTGTATCTGAACACAAACATTAGACCGCCATCGGCCTTCAACTTCAACACAATAATATATCTAGGTTAGAAGCAGCGCCTTTTGTATTCTTTGTTTGAAGTTTAAAATAAAGATATGAGGTATAATTGCCGATAAGATAACTATTCACTGGAGATCATTTCTAAAGGACAAGGATATAAACAACTATAGGGCGCTGTACGGCCTTCAACAATGAGCAAAATCGTATAGGAAACTATAAAAGACCCCTGGTGAAATAATATATGAAACAATTTAAAATCTGCCTAATTTATACTAGGAACAATACATGAAAAGCAAATTTGGCAGACAGCAACAAACGACAACCACTGAATTACAGGCTCCTGATTTAGAGCAGGCACATAACGAACGGGCTTAGATAAAGATGTTTTAAGCGCCCAACCTTCCATGTAACCTACGACATTGGTGTAACAACACAACATAAAAACAAACTTCAAGTTTCTTTTGATTTTCTCAAGCTGTGAGGTAATTGCAAATCATAAAACGTTAAGTGACTCATTCTTGGTTTTTATATTTGAAATGAAATAAGGTTAACAATAAACATGGTTATTTTCTTAACGATTTGCTGAGCAAAGAGAAAAGTTATCGAGAATTTTAATGTGTGCCAATAGATCTACAAATGGGGACAGTTTGTCGATAATGAAATTTCATTAGTAGTGAGATGATTTCGATGAATTTAACATTTTGCTTATCTTTGCGAACTTGTTAACACCAATATGATTCAAGTAAGAACCTTGCTAGAGGAATGAAGAAATCTATAGCGACTTTTTACTTTAAAGTTTTTTAAATAAATTTTATGCTTAAAGTACATTTTATTTTTTTATTTTTTATCCGTTATGCAGTCTATACCACGTCGTTGCATTAGGAACTAGACCAGAGTTGCAACCATCACTCGTGCAACAAAAATGGCAATTGAAAGCGGATGGATTTTTGACAACTCCATATCTTTTACAATAGTCCTCATCTGCGGTTTCTACTATCCATTCTTTTCTACATATACGGTCTGTGACACACCTATGATAAAACAATTGAATTGCATGAAATGTTTGCTGGTCAAATTTTCCGTCAAAGTTCTTTTGTAGCAGAAATAACAAAAAAATGATAAAAAAAAATGTTGTCAGAAGTGTAATGGAGGTGAATGTTTATTTTTTGTTTTTTCTCTATTTTTGGAACTTCTGAGGAATATATTTGAATGATTTGCCTAGAAAAGACCAGATTTGTTACAAAATAGAAAAATCTGAAAATGCAAGGATTAAAATATAACTGCTGCACCTTTTTTTATGATGTCGAGTTTTTTTTTTTTTTTTTTTTTTTTTGATTATTTGATTTCCCTTGCTGGTCGTTGAACGCAATGTAGTGGCGTCTGACTTAATGTTTTACAGTACAAACGATGTGTATTTGTGGTTGTTTATTCTCTGTCAGGTCAACAATTTGTATTTGAATACGAACCTTTTGTAAACGTCTGCATTTCCATTTGAATCCTGAATGATATCTGTCATACAATACGGATACGCTCCATTACATTCTTTTAGCTGTGACGTAGAAACCTGTCGGCTGCTGCAGGGTATGCCATTTGACGTATCGCCACATTGGTGGCAAGAAATCTTAGCTGTAAACGATAACAAAACTTCAAGCATGGCATTAAAGTCATGAAATATCTACTATTTTCATATCTATAGATAAATAGACAACGTATAACTATACAACTCGTGATTTTTACCTTTAATAATTCGCATACAATAATTATATATAGTTTTAAAAATAACAATTCTTTTGAATATTTTAAAAGGAGATGATTTAGATTGAAACCATTTTTTGATTTATCAGCAATGCAAAGTGATTTTGATGTTTGTTGTAAAATTTAGTTTTCTGTGTACATTAACGAGAAATGCTCACCTTTAGGAGTTGTCGATGTTGTGGGAACTGCTGTAATATATTATGCAACAATTTTAAATACAACATTATCTAACAAAAGCACATATTTTTCTTGTGTTTATGCATAGATGTATAAACCGGTTTATGTAATGCATTTTTTTCTAATCTTTATAATATACAATGTGCCATTTCATGAAAATAACACTTTATAAATTTCATGCGTCCGTAATGATCCAAAAAAAGTTACATCAACATTTACTTTGGTCACAGTTTAGATCTTGAAGATAAAGAAAATGGCAGTCATGTAAAGTGGTAAAACAATAAATATTGAGACTTATTTTTTTCATGAAATGTGTTCTATCTCACACAAAAGGTTACTGGGGGATAGAAATATGGTCATTTAATTCTTCTTCCGAACGGCATTAACACTCTTGCCAAAATGGGGCGATCGTTTGGCTGTGCAGGATGTACAAATACGCAGCCACGTCCGGTCAGAATGGGGACGTTAAATCCGATGCCTTGTGTAAAGAGAATGCCATGTTCTCTGTACGTTAAGAACCATGTCAACAACTCTTTGAGGGGTCCGTAGGTGGCCTGTTGCAAGACAAATATTCTGTCCCTGTCTAATATACCCTTATTTTCCATTTTCAGTAAAAATTTCACCGACCTTCATCCAGGACGGCCTCTATTACGGGACCTACCTATTGTATGTATTGTTATTTTGTTCTCGTCCTGAACATGCATGAAATATATGCCACTGGACGTTAAGCAACCAACAATCAATCCACGAAATTGTACAAGGTAGACATTCCATATTTCCTTTCATGCATGTTTAATTAAATTTGAATTAAATAACACCTGAGTCCAGTTGTCAGATATCAACTGACCGACACTCGTGCATCTTAGTATGGAGAAGTATAAAGTCTATCAAAAGTAATTCAAGGCAAGTCTTACATTTTCCTTTTTTTCTGGTAAAATTAAGTAACACTTGTAATTACTTATCCAACATTACACGTGATTGATTTGATATTGGAGAAAACTAAGTAACTTACAACTGTTTTACAACTTACGTATAGTATTTTAAAGTTCATCAGGTGAACAATGAAAATCAGTTACCGTGAACTACATTCCATGCTTCACTTAATTTATTAATAAGGTTAGATCAGCTACTAGCACATGTTTTAAACAATATATTGGCTTTATACGTGCAATTTAAAAGAACTGTTTAACAATTATTCTATGTTGTAATTGAGAATAATTTAAGATGTATTCATAACGAATGTTGATAAAAGTTCCGAGAGGACCGATGGCGATAATTAAGTGTCTATTTTCGAAAACTTGTTACCTGTAGTGGAAAGTGTTGTGGAATTCGTAGTTGAAACCGTAGTAGGAGTTGTAGGAACTGAAAGTGTTGTGGAATTCGTAGTTGAAACCGTAGTAGGAGTTGTAGGAAATGAAAGTGTTGTGGAATTCGTAGTTGAAACCGTAGTAGGAGTTGTAGGAACTGAAAGAGATATTAGTGGTTATACATTTATAAAAGTTACTCAATCTGTATGTCTGTGAAGTGTTTTGTTGATAGATTATTGTTTGTTTATGTCTTTTTTTTTCATATTTTGGTTATGGTAATGCCAGTCCGTCTAAAACTCGTGATTATATGAGCTGCGTCGAATAGAAATCGACCTTATGCAAATGACTATCAATACATATGTTAACCTATTTCGGGTTGAAAAAATCTTTATGGGAAGTCCCTATATGTTTGAAAATTGAGCTGTTATAAGTAAATCAACAACACAGACCAAGATCTATCTTTTATTTCGTATTTGAATGATCCGAAATATATCAAAGTCTTATACATGTACATGTATACGTGTATTGCTCCTTGATAGATTTCAATGTCCTAAAAGATGTACTTAGACGAAATTAATAAAATCTAGAATTTAAAATTGACACTATAAGCCAGAAGAGCATTAGTTAAGGAACAACAATAGCTAAAAATATTGATAGGTTATGGAGCTCTTTTTCGAGATATTTATTTTTTTTTAAATCGGACTTTTACCTTATATTTGCATTGGTATTATTGGAGTCTCTAATCGAAAGAAAAGAAATCTAGAATCTGCTTAAATTTTGGTAAATGACCTTTTATGAGCGATTGAAGTCTAAAATAAAAAGACAAATGGGTATTATGGGGCAAAATATTTTACCCTGTATCGTAGGAAAAAAACAAGGAGTCCGAACATCTGACAAAAATTCCTAAACCTGACCTAAGTATATCATTAACTGGAGGATATTGATATTTTCAAAAGCGTACACTAGAAATTCAACCAATGAAAGAAGTTTATTTTTATTTTAATGTACACAGATTTTCATTTCATATATTGCTTTAGATTTCGAAACAGTGCATTTAAGAGAAGAGCAAAACGAGTATTTCAATAGGGAAAAGAGGCCAACGATATCAAGAGGACAGTAAAACAGGGACTTATACAGAATCAAACTATTTCCGACCTATCCCGTTCGCTATATTTGAATCCCTTCATTCTTATGTTTTATTTACCTCCTGTCTTAGGATTTTTTCTATCATTTACGGGTTCCCCTTATTTTTAGTGTTACTTTTAAGATAGTATCTTTGGTCTTCTACGTGTTTACATCTTTTAAAACATATGATTCAAAAATTTAATTGAATATTTTTTTACAATTATAAACAATATTGAAACCAAAATATGGTAAGCATCAGTTCGTAAATTAAAATCAAATATTCAAACTTAAGTTACATTCAGCTCATAACCATGCAATAAACAATAAAAATTTACAAATACACTTCCCTTGATAGAATTGAATTATATGCACTTTCCAAAAACGGTTCCAAAGATGTAAAAATGTAATTCAGTGATAATGTTATTGAATATTTCAGTTTCCACGACAGCATGATTTTGTATATTTGAAAGATGTTTAAAAAAGGCTATTATTCAAAACTTTGTTTAGTAACGATATTGTAGGGTTAGGTGCTTCACATGATTTATTTTTTTGTTATACTTTCTTCTTCTACCTTTAGTTATTCCAATGACGAGACACTTTGCCGATAGTTGACTTTGTGTATATCTTTGTATCGTTTAGTCCATAATTTGTTGTGGTAATGGCCGATCTGGGTAATGTTATGAATTTTTAATTTACTCAATTATCTAGACTAGTACTGAATTAGAGCTTGACATTTAACATTGACGCTTACCTACTGTTGAGAACCGTATTTTTACCTCTTAATGATCTTCGGCTTTATTTTTATTATAAGATTGATGCAGTATTGGCGTGTTCCTATTTACTTTTATTCAATGAATGTCGACTTTGTTAATGCTCGGACTTTATTGAGTATTGTGCGTCCCAAATATTTGCCTTGTAATTAACGCATGCTTTTTTTGTTGTTGTTATTTTACATGTTGTTTCAGTAGTATGGATAACCAACAACGATACAGTAGTTTAACAACATAACAAAATATAACATCTAGTGGCTATCATTTGGTAATTACGATGAGCAGGGACTCAGATAATACGTCCAGCTCTAAATTACCCCTAGCATATAAACAAGAGAACCCAAGCACTTAAATCGCACATGAAGCGACGTTATATGTGCACACGTACATTTTTAGAAAAAATTGCAATATTTGTTAGTTAGTTTAAGGCAATAGGAACGCTAATTACATCTTAAAGTCAAGCTTGGAACGCAAATGACATTTTAAAGCAAAGCTTTGATAAAGCATTTGTGTGAGGTCACGGTTCTTTATAAAGGTGCAACATCATGTGTGTTTCCTCAATAATTTGTCAAAATGACTCATATTTATTTCATTTTCACATTACTTAAATAAATAAAACATATGTATCAAATTGATTAATTATAATAAATTAATGTTAACGTGGTTTTATATTAATTATTAACCCGTTTGTTTACTAGGCTTCGTTGAAGACAAGAACTTCAAAATGGGAAAGTGGTTTCATAGGACAAAAAATATTGTAAAAAATATACATATCAAATGTTTAGCCGATTAAACACATAAAGTCTATAAATATCTAATACGAATGACCTCAAAATTGCGCCGATTGACATAATAAAAGTTGAAAAACAATCATAATTTATTATGTTGTTACTGACTGGCGTGAGGTTTTCTAACTCAAAAACATACGGAAAAAATCATATTTTATTTTATTTTTTTTATATTTCGTAGCTAATGCCCCTTTCATATGAGGAAGTATTAAGTCTATCAAAAGTTATCCAAGGCAAGTCTTACATTTTCCCTCTTTTCTGATAAAATTAAGTAACACTTGTAATTACTTATCCAACATTAAACGTGATAGATTTGATATTGAAGAAAACTAAGTGACTTACAACTTACGTAGTATTTTAAAGTTCATCAGATGAACAATGAAAATCAGTTACCGTGAACTACATTCCATGCTTCACTTAATTTAAGGTTAGATCAGTCTACTAGCACATGTTTTAAACAATATATTGGCTTTATTCGTGCAATTTTAAAAAAAAAACAGTCTAACAATTATTTTATGTTTTAATTGAGAATAATTTACGATGTATTCATAACGAATGTTGATAAAAGTTCCGAGAGGACCGATGGCCCAAGACTACAATTAATGACCCCACTTTACGTTGTTCACGAATAAAGTTCCCTTTAATTAAAGTGTATTTTTTCTTTATTTTTTTCTTTCCTTTTCTCATACATTTCTTAGTTTTTATAAGGTGGAAATGAAAGAAGAGAGCTGAAATAATTTTTTGGATGTTTTATTTTAACTGATTTTGATATGAAAAGAGTGATTAGGCCAGGTGCAAAAAGGTAATATTTACAGTTTTCGGAACATCTCTTGACTTGTCCATAGGGGTATGGATGTGTATTGGCTAAATTTGTAAGATGTAAACGTTCAATTTTTCTGAAACTTTGATATATTTTAGGTCTTGTACTGTACATTACACACACAAAAGATTTGACAAAAAAGCAGGTAATTTTTTTTTAATTAGACAAAACGTTATAAAGAACTAGTAGAGGAATTAATTGTGGTCTGTGGCCCGATGGCGATAATTAAGTGTCTATTTTCGAAAACTTGTTACCTGTAGTAGAAAGTGTTGTGGAATTCGTAGTTAAAACCGTAGTAGGAGTTGTAGGAACTGAAAGAGATATTATACAATTATTGCCTTTGAATGAGGTCGATACGAGGTTATATCGACCTAAGAGAAGCATATTGACTGAGGACGAAGTCCGAGGTCGATATGCTTCTCTTGGTCGATATAACACCATATTGACCTCAATCAAAGGCTACGGCTACAATATTTATATCATTAATCAACAACAGCAGGGACTCAGACAATACATGTTGTTTCTGTAGTATGGATAACCAACAACGATACAGTAGTTTAACAACACAACAAAATATAATATCTAGTGGCTATCATTTGGTAATTATGATGAGCAGGGACTCAGATAATACGTCCAGCTCTAAATTACCCCTAGCATATCAACAAAAAAGACAACCCAAGCACTTAAATCGCACACGAAGCGACGTTATATGTGCACACGTACATTTTTAGAAAGAATTGCAATATTTGTTAGTTAGTTTTAAGGCAATAAGAACGCTAATAACATCTTAAAGTCAAGCTTGGAACGCAAATGACATTTTAAAGAAAAGCTTTGATAAAGCATTTGTGTGAGGTCACGGTTGTTTATAAAGGTGCACGTGGTTTCATAGGACAACAAATATTGTAAAATATATATATATATTTAGCCGATTAAACACATATAGCCTATAAATATTTAATACGTATGACCTCAAAATTATTGTGCTGATTGACATAATTAAAGTTGAAAAACAATCATATGTTGTTACTGACTGCCGTGAAGTTTTCTATCACAAAAACATACGGGAAAACATTTGTTTTACATTCAATGACTGACAAAATCGAAACATGACGTATACTTACATGTATTTGAAACTGAAGGAAGTGTACTTGAAGCAACAGGAAGTGAACTTGATACTACCGGAAGTGTTGCAGTACTTGGAACTACAGGGAGTGTTGTTGGTTGTATGAATAGTTTAATTTGGTCTGGTTTAGGATGAAGATTACATGGGGTGGTTGCATTGGATTCACAACAATAATGACAAAGAAGCTTATTTCCTGTTTTGGAAGCATCAACACCGGTCATATTCCCTGTCAAACAGGCGTCGGTTTTTCTCGACTGTAACCATTTTCCTTTACACTGTTCTTGGGATGCACATCTAAAAATACCATGTGTGTTACCTCCACTTGTATAAAGCTTTCATTATTTTAAGGGAAATAATCGTTATATATCAAGTGTTTTGTGTCTATTGGTTTCTGTCTCGTTGACTTAGACCCCACTTCTTCCTATATACATAAATTGTCTAAATTCATTATCTTTCAAAATTGGTATGCGGATGGTTCATATGTTTTCTGTAGTGGTTGTTGATTTTTCGATGTACTTTTTTATCTGGTGACGCTATTTTCTAATAAATAAATGAATGCATTTCAATTCTGAATGTATACTTTCGATGGTTTTTCAAATACTAATGAAAATTGATATTTTATCTTATTTATTTCATCGATAAGCCCAGTGTTTCGCTTTTTAACACGAGCCCCCATCACGATAGTTGGACGCTGAAGTGGTAATCTAAGGTAGCAATACACAGTTAGAAGTTTAGTTTCGCATTATGGCCATGTGAATTTTTTAAATATGAAAGTTTTTGTACAATAAAATTGATTTTTAGATAGTTGAAGAATAATATAGCCTTCCAAGTGGGTTTATATGATCATTTAGATTGTTTTAGCATGTTTTATAGGCCATTTTTCTGTTTGACAGTCCGTATTTTCCTATCCGCACTGCCCTTGATCTAGAAATTATTGTACTGTTTTTCAACAAAGATTTGTTGCTCGATCTTTTCAATTCAATTTTATGGAAAAACAAGCAGAAATGCATAAGATTTTTTGTTTACCTCTTGATAGATATAGGTCTATGGTTTCAGGAAAGGTATCACTCTAATTGATTGAAATTTTCCTTTTGACCAAATTTTTGAGACTTTTGTGGCATGTTCACTCCCCTTTTTTGCAATATTTTGTATCAAATAAATGCAGATTGTTGCCATGGTTACACCAAAAGAGATTATATTTCACCTTTTTAACTATTAAAAATGAAATCTATGGAAGATGCTCTTTCCAGAAATATACACATGCATAACACAAATAGAAAGCCTTATTTATTAGATAGGAAGGAAAAGAGGGTGGTTAAAAATTATGAGTGTCAATTTTAAGGTTTTTTCCTAACTGTGTATTGCTACCTAAGGTGCTCCGGAAGGATTAGAAGATTTACATGTGAAACCCATCGTGTCACTCCTATAAAACACGTTGGCAAGTTATATCAAGTGATCATGTATCACGCAAAAGCCGATTGGCAATTGAATCTCGTCTTACCACGTATATGCTGTTTCATAAGTTTGAAGGGAAGTCCGAAGTTAACCGAAGTTGTGTTTTTAAAATATTTTTCACTTTGCACAAGGTTCTTGATATTTGTCATGATATATCAGATATGTAAAGTACCAAAAATTTATACTGAACCTTCTAAAATCCCTAGTTATAAGGTTCTGAGTCGTCGGATCTGTGTCATAAACCACATCATTGAGACAGAATCTTTCTGAAGGAGGACAATCTTGTACCTTATTCCCATTTTGTGGACCGGTTACAACACATTTATAGGCTGCAAAAATACAAAATAAACGATTGGTTACAGAATCGGTAAATGAACACATCAAAAATATCAGCCTTATAATTTTGTACTCAAGACGCGTGTTTTGGACAACATTAAAAATTGGAACTCTATCAACTTTCTCAACTTGTTAGGCAAAATTAATCATGTGTATATCATCAACATCGAATACCAAACAACAATTATAAAATTTGTTTAAAGACCTTATAAAATACACACGAAATTTTGAAAATTTCCTTTTTCATATTTATAGTCAGTAAATGCTCAACTACACATGTAGTGGTCCTTCTGACTTTTGCTGTTACAACTGCAAACATGCACCTCGACGTAAATATTGTTACAAAACAGTATGTTGATAACGATATTGACTATTTCAGTAGTATCAAATATTCTTAAGATAACTTATGCTCCCTTTTAGTTCAGTGATGTCTCCATTGATTCTTTTTTCTACAAATCACACAAAATCACACAATCTTGTAAAATTTTATCATCCAGAAGTTTTGTTATTTGAGAAGTGGTCTTTCGATAAATCGGAATAAAACTACACCACTTGTAGTCGTTTTAATTTCTTTTTACATGATAAAAAATATAAAAATACACAAATCGAATTTCAGTGCAAAAATTATTTATTAAAAGCCATTTGTTTTTTGCTTAATAATATCTATGTTATGGAGATAATAAATATAGTCAAGGGATAGGTATTCCAACTGGAGCAAACTGTGTCCCATTTATTACACTGTCAGATTGAATTTTTTTTGTTACGAATCAAAGATTACAGCAAGATTAAGAAAGATCTAATGAAACAACTTTAATTAGATATTTTAACAATCTCTGCATATATTTAGACGATGTGTTCTCTGTAAACAATCCAGATTTTTCGTAATATAAAACAACTCACTCTTACTAAATCGACAAGGTATTTTTTCAACCTTGGCACTTAAATATTGCATGGCAATTGTCGTACTAAAATTTGTAATAAAGGAACAAAGTGTCCTCTTCTTTTGTTAATTGTCGTTTCCTTGGTTACGATGTTCCTTTTGTTCCCTCTAATGGAACGAACTTTTCTCATTTGGTTCGATATGCACATGTTTGCAGGGAGGTCTCAGATTTCTATGATCATACTACTTTCATTACTAGAAATGTACAACAGGGATATTGATGATCATAAATTGGTCAAAAACATCTAACTAAATTTAATCACATATCAACTTACAACTATCGATCTTAGTGTGTATTAGTGTGTACCAAATAAGTTAAGAACTTTGAGCTTGCTAAAAGTAGCTGCACACATTTTTTATACAGTAAGATATTGTTTTTTTGTATTTGTGATTTTTCTAATCAATTGAACAGTTGATTTTTTAGTCAAGTGCTTTCCCCCTTTTTGATGATTTAGAGTAAAAGGGAGACGTTTGAGATCCTAAGAAACACATGTTGATAGACATTTCTTAAGTAGGGCATGTTAGCGGTTGTCTTTTCTTATCTTTATTAAAAAAATTTTCTTTATTTTTTTTCATTTGGGGATTTTTTTATTAAATGCTGGTCTTTTATAGCCTCTACGTTAATCCACAACTTTTTTTACCACGGCTGTTTAGAGATTAACGTATTGTATAGACCTTATTCTAGTGTTGACGTCCATATATTGACCTCTAGATGTTTTTGAGGGTTTTGTTTTTCGCTTGATGTCTCAATGACGTAAACCCCACGTCCTCTTGGTAGAACTTTATTTGTCAGTATTATTGATTAACTTGCTATATACCTCTGTTTTGAGTTTGACCAAAGTTTGTTAAGTTTGTTGGTTTTTCCGTCATCGCATTGCAAGGTTTACCATTAGGTCCCTGACAACAGTATGTACACACGCCATTTTGAATACATTCAGTTCCGTTACCAGTGCCAATCCAGTAATCCCAATAGCACTCTACTCTACTTGCACATCTTGAAAATATGCACGGGCATTATATTAACAAACTTTAAGTGAAAAGACCATAATTATATATCTTCTGTTAGTCTACTGATCGGGATGATGAAATGATAAAAGGGGGAGGGTTGAGATATCAAAACCTAGTTTAAACCCGCCACATTTCCTTGTGCCTGACCGAAGTATAACACTTCGCAAATAGTCGTATATTTAATCTTTATGTCTTTCGTTATTAAAAGAATTGAGTATTGATGGCAGGTCTTTGATTGTTGCTGTTTGAATTTCATTCACAACTTTTACAGACTTGGGATGCATTAGAGCTTGCTATATATGTAAAAACCTGTCGATTGTTGATGTCTTTTGTTTGCATTTTATCGGTTCGTTGCTGTCTCATTGACGTATAACTCACATCTCCTTTTATTCTTATACTTTTTACCTCTATTTACATATAATACCTGTATGCAGGTCTTACCGTGTACATTTATTTTTTAAGAAATGGATGCCCGTAACATATTTTAATTGCTCATTTTTAAAAGTTGAATGTTTGTGGACGTCGCATGGCGACATTTCCGTAGATTTTTACTCTTTGAAGTGAATACCCAGGGCCGTAGCGTAATGGAGGCAACTGAGGCAAATGCCTCACTTTTGAAGTGTCATTTTTTTTTTCAATTATGTATTTTACATTATCAATATGCGAGTTTCGAGTTTCAAATTATCTACCGGCACACTACATACAGTGTGTCCAATCTGCAGCAGCGATTGTAGCTTTTACCATAGCGGTGACGGTAAAAAAATAAGTGTTCCGAATACAAATCAAAATAAAAAAATTGAAACACAAATCTTAATGTCGTTACAAAACTGGTTGAAGACGGGTTCTTTAAAGAGAAAAAAAAGAGGAAAAAGGTAACTCATGAGTATAAACACTCCCTATAAGTATGCTGGCTTATTCCTTTCCTTGGTTTATTTTTGAATCGATAACGCTATAGTTACCAATGTTTACACTATGATCAACTCACTGAACAACAAATGCTAATCGATAAAATAATTCATTGACCAAAAATATAATAATTAGTTATAATTAATTTAAACAAAATCATGAAGCACCTTTTCTATGGAAGTCTTTAATGTATAAGGCAATTCATGATTTTTATTTATCGGAGAATCGGAAAGTTTTGATTGACCACACAGATTAACTTTAATATTGAAACTTGTTTTGTTACTTACTAGGCTAGCTATTAACAAAAAAACGCATTTCTGTTATATTTTTTTTTGTTTTTTATTATGAATACATTGACCTCTCCCATAGTAATGCTGAAATAATCTTCTCCCGTTTCAGGCACCCGAACCCCCCTAAAAAAATTTTCGCTTCGCTCGGCTCAGTTGATTTGGACATGCGCTACGGCATTGATACCTCATCTGTTAATATATACTATGAACGTTTGAGTATGTTTCAATATATTTAGCAATGTCGAAAGACCTGCATAATGTCAAATTATAAAAATACTGATTGTTTAGTCTCTAAGAAAACTTGTAAGATATCCGTTGCTATCTTTGCAGTTTGGGTACTCGGTGCAATTTGGGTACCATGACGTTACATATGTCAGACAACTGAAAACAAGGACACAAATAAATAAAAGACATCTATAGGTTAGACAAGTGTCTCTTAAATTTGATAGTCCCGATTCTATGAACAGTTATAAATGAATTAAACAGAAGCTATATGTTAAAGATCTAATATCAATATTTGTCATATATTTAGTAGTAAATACAGTAGTTTTGAATATTTGATAAATAGCCTGCTGTTTAATCGGTATCGCTCAACTTTGATGCGCACCCTTTATCACACCCTTTTATCGCATGTCTACCCTTTATCACACCCCTTTATCGCACCCCTGCTCGGATTTCTCGTTCTCGTTCTATACGGAGTCTCTCGGACAGTTCGTATATACTCTCCTGTTTAAATATATGATAAAGCGTATAAAATATGGCAAATTCGTATCACATGCCGTATCACCCTCGGCCAATATCATCCCTAGGGCCTAAAGGCCCTCGGGCTGATATTGATATCTCGGGATGATACGGCATGTGATACGGATTTTGCCATGTATTATTCTGTATACACTATTAGCAACAATGTACTTGAATCTGCATTCAAAATAATAATCACTTAATTTTTTTTAAAACAATTTTCTTTCTTTCGTCAGGAAAACTACATCAGTGCAAGATGTGAATACCAAGATATATAATAAACCATCAAGGAGCTGTGTGCTATTCAATATGCTTCCTAATGTTTATCTATCATTTATCTTATTGTGAATACATTTTCTACATGTATCCTGATAAATTGATTAAATCAAAGATCTGCTAATAGAAGATGAAAAGTCAAGCAGCACGATCAATAATATTAGGACATGTAGGTGAAAAGATGAAAGGGATGTCTACAACACATACATCTTGTTTATGTATTTCTTTAAAGACAGCCATAGAAAAACAACAAAGTTAACTAGGAATAAGCATTGGATGAAACAGTATTGGGATTCTAATGGGCAGGTATGTCTTTATTGATTTACATGTACCTGTATATACATACATGTATATACATATGATCATAAATTCCCTTACAATGTGAAACATTGAGATTTACTCCAAATACTTGGTGTGATTCGGGAAAGTTATAATTTTTCGGTACTTTATTTTTTCTATTTAATATCTCGTAATGTTGATATAATTTAAACGATTTTGTATAATCGAAAACATAATAATAATTCAGGAGAAAGCGATTCACGCAATGAAATCTAAAAGATAAATTGTGTGAATTTAGAACGCGTTTTTAAACGGGATTTTAACCTAAATTATTAGTTTTACGTAAAAAATCTACTTGTTTTGTATATCTTAATATAAAATTCAAATTTTCAAAAAAAAAAACGTTTACCGCCATGAGCATTGAAATGTCATGGCGGGTCACATATGTGTTGGGGTAAAACTAGTTTTATTATACCCCAACTCTCCCTTTCTCCCTTTTTTAATCATGATCAATCATTGTGCACAAAAAAAAGATATATAAAAGAACTTTCAACAAAATCATTTAAGAAAAGGCATTTAACGAAAAACAAAAGTAGAGTAGGCAACGAAAAACAAGTACAAACAAAATAATAGCAAACTGTATTAAACCGTATAAAAAATTATCGCAGTTACAGAAAGCAAGCTGAAACGACTAAAGCTGGTAATATGAAATACTACTATCCTTCATTTTTGTATGGATTGCTGTACTTTATAAATAATCTCAACAGCAACATCATTAACAATATACGAAGACATGATTATGTGAAATTCTCAAGACTTACTGTATAAAATTTCAATGCAGAAAACCGTGAAGAGAATCATTGTAGTCTCGCTTCAAACAATAAACTAGCAAATATATGCTTATTCAAAATACTAAAACCAGCGACCGAATGAATAAAAACAGTATAATTTCAATCAGAGGCGGCAGATATCAAAGGGATATTCAAACTCATAAGTCGATGACAAACTGACATCGTCATGGCCAAAAAACGAAAAAAAAACAAAAGACCAAAAGACAAATAACAGTATACAAAACACAACATAGAAGACTAAGGACTGAGCAACAAGAACCCCTACAAAAACAGAGGTTGATCTCAGGTACTTCAAAAGGGTAAGCAGATCCTGCTCCACATGTGACATCCGTCGTGTTTTCCCTATGAAATATGCTGACTAGTTAGTCTAGTTATATCGATTGATTAGGCATCACGCACTAGTGTTTTGTTAATTGACTCTTGTCTAACCCAAAAACTTCATCAAAAATATAAAAAAAAACATCGGTCATGTACATTTTCTAACCCTGAAAATTGACCAAATGTGAAATTTTGAAATTGAAACAAGTTTGGCATGATAATTTAACCATTTGGACTTTGGTTGATAGTTTTCCCATTGGCATTCATACCACATCTCCTAATTTAATAAAGGTCTCTTTTAAAGAGATCGTTGAATTTGACACACATGTCCTCTGTATATCAGTTTGGGAAAATCCATTTCTTTTATAAAAACTATATCGTGCCTTTAAATACCAGATGAAGGTTGTTCCGATGCGATGGGTTGCTTATACTTGGGAAATGCTGTGCTTTTAGTTGTTTTCTTCTATAAAACATAATTTACCTATGAAGAGTTTTTGTCCAATTACCATTATGATATATGATTTCATTGAGACAATAAGGTCTCTCCCCACTACACACAGTATAATCCATAGGAGAACAAGAAGCACTTTGATCTTCTGTACACACCAAACATTTAGTACCATTTACTGTAAAATAAGAAATAAAACAGACAGTGAGATAATTGTAACGGTAGGAGTTATTTCACAAGCTGAAAGAAATGTTAGTATATGTTATGATGAAATTATTCTTAACATTCCAATAGTATTACTTGAATCCTTGGCTTTCAAATATTCGGCTTTGAGCGTTCCTGATGAAGGTTAATCCAGAAAAGCGCTTCGGACGTATGAAATTTATAACGTGTTGTTTTCATTTTTTTGAAGTAATGATAAAGAGTTTCAGTTAAGAATTGCTTACATCCACTTCATTTGAACTTTGGTGGATAGTTGTCTAAATGGCAATCATACCACATCTCCTTATGTTTTTACTATATATATTCAAGCTTTAGTGCTTTCTGTTAGAAAATGTTTCCGGAAGATGGAACATATCATATTCCCACCAATTACTCCATTTAACTTCAAGTATATATGTTCTTGCAAGTTTTTTACCCTTTAGAATGTCGCGACTCCTTTGTAAAATTATGTGCAATATTTTTCACAAGTACAAGGAATAATATGCTGTTGGTCAATAATAAATAGACAATAAAATATATAGCTGACCCGCTGCTGAAGTTGTTATGACTGTAGTTGGAGTTGTAGATGTTATAGTTGTAACTGTAGTTGGCATAGTTGGTAAAGTGGTAGGAATCGGCGTAGTTGTTGCCAACGTTGTATGGGTCGTTGTTGGTGTCGTTGTTGGTGTCGTTGTTGGTGTTGTTGTTGGTGTCGTTGTTGGTGTTGTAGTTGGTGTAGTTGTTGTTGTAGTTGGTGTCGTTGTTGTTGGAGTCGTTGTTGGCACAGGTGTTGTAGTGGTTGGTGTTGTTGTTGGCGGAGTAGGCTTAGATGTGGTTGTTGCTGTAGTTGTATGTTTTATTGTGTGCTGTGCTGAAGTGGAACCTGAACTTCCTATTGTCAAGTAGACCCAAATGAATATAAAATTCAAGCATTGCTTCACGTGTTTTATGTAAAACAAGATATTTATAATTTAGAATACCGTCTAATCGACGACTATCTGTACTTTTAAAAATCAATCATCATCAACAGCTAAGTCATCATCCCAGAATTATTCTACTTCTCGATCTTTGCTTCTTCCTTTTTTTTTTTTTGATTCATAGCTCGTATAATTTCCATTAAACTATTTTAGCACAGAGCATCGCTACTTGATAACTGTTCGTTGTTACAAAAGTCAAAGTCCAAACAGATTAACAACTGTATCTTAAGTTATTTTTTAGATTTTAAATTATTGAAAATAAAATTGATGTAAGTATTAAGCCAATATTCAAATGTCCTAATACAATGTTGAATTGATAATCTTAAAGAAAAAGTTAACTCAAAGGAACATTAAAGTTAAATAGATCGTATCATATAGTAAGAGCTCTACATCATCGTAAAGAATGTGATGTCCAATTTGACATGATATATCTTTATGGTTTGTTCCCCCTTTTCGGAAAAGTTTTGCACCGATACCTTTTTTATGTTTTCTGTGTCTCTTAAGCATATTTCTAATCAAGCAATTAAGTTTGACCCTCCATTACATCATTCCTGTTGCATTTATAAACTGTGGTTAAAATAATATTTGGATAAGTTGAAAAGAGTAGGCCCGATAGGACCTCTTTTTGGCCCCAAAATATAGCATTTCAAAAATGTGTTAAAAATGTAAACTTTAAGCTATTAATTTGAAAGAAGAATACTTGAGTTACATAAATATTGGCTGTTTTTGACCTTACACTGCACATGCATCAGGTACTTGCATCATTAATTCATGCAAAATTACTTAAATCTGCACAATTTTAGTATTTGTGCTAATTTTTAGACTGTTTTTGTCTAAAATGGAAGTGGCCGCACTTGTTTTCAGTCTTGATATTTAAATATATGTTGTATTTGATCATGATACATATATTATATAAAGGTTGAGACTGAACACGAATGCGGCCACTTCCAATTTAGACAAAAACCATCTGAAAGTGACGTTTTGTGGCATAGTTGATAGATTTTTCATATTTAAGCTTGAATTTAGGCGTCTCTAATGACCAAATCAGTTCAAGTCTTTTACAAAAACTAATTGAATCGACTGAAGAAGACACTTAAGTGTTTAAAAAATGTAAAAAATCTTTCATCAGATGTACTTCAAATTTTAGGCCGAAATAAGCCCTTAGCGGATCTTCTCCTTTCACTGAATCTTATAGAACAGACAAGTGTTAAAATAGAGAAGTTCAATCAGTTGTAAAACAAAAGTACATATATTTTGTCGGAATGCTCTGGATAGTTTTATGATTGATGGACAATTACTAAATAGACTGGAAAACATGGCATTTTTTTTCAAAGGCAACCGATCTCAATACAGAAAAAAAACATATATTACAATCTTATTTGATACCAAAAATAAACAAATACATAAGTTTTACCTGTCTGCATGTATGATGGCATGTAGTTAGGGTTTATGTAAGTCTTTTCGTTGCAGAACCTGTCCTCGGGACAATGTGCAGTGCAACAATCATAGCACACAGTATTTACCGGCGGGGATGGAGATTTGCAGTCCGGATTCCTCAAAGAGCTGAGTGCAGCATTGTTCATACACACAGTTTCATTTGTTCCTCCTCTTTCATACGTTACGCCACCATTTGTGTATGTTTTCTTTAGAAAGCAGATGTCATGTCTAACATCGAGCTGTAAATTATTATCTCTACAAATTGATCCTGTATTAAAAAAATTAAAAAATTTTACTTCGATCATATTATCTTTTTTCTATTTCCGTACAGTGATTTTGTATAATAATAATTCCCTGAATTTTCCCACCTTGTATTCCATTTAACGTTCACAGATTTGTACAAAAAAACAATTTATTGTTTTTAGTTATTGCTTGTTTACGCTATCAGTGATACTGAAGACAAAGTTATCAATGGACCAGTTAAGGAAATTTCTGACATTACATTTCGCAGTTTCATTGTCGTCTGGAACATGGAAAGTCCAAAACAAAACAAACATTACACTTAACATTTTGGGAAAGTATACTGACAATCACATTTCGGGCTTTTTGGACTGACCTTTTAATTATTTTACCAAAAAAGGACTTAAATTATATTTTTTAAACGAGTTATACTGATACATGTGTACTTACTAGTTGATGGATGATTACAAACTGCGTGTGTTTCTCCTAAAATATGAAATATAATTAACAACATTTAAAATAAAAATCAATAAAATTATCAACCTGCTATGGAGGTTTAAAAGAAACAATGTTCGTGCGGTAAGTTTCATGTCTTCAATACTTGCCCTATATGCAGAATTATGTGTGAAAACGAATTTCGTGATTACCAGTGATTCAGAAAATCTTCTAAAGTACCAAGGATAAAAATTGAAACTATAATCACCAGTTACAATATATATGCAAACTTTACTGTACCAATGATATCGCTTTGTTCATATGACCCCTGTTGAAAAAAATCAAAAAAATCAATAATTTTATATAGAATCCTGAAGTTTGATGGTGTTATTAACGTCATTAGAGTTGTCTGACCCGATGGGTTCGGAATTATAATATTGGCTTAATGCAAACTTGACCAATTATGTCTGAACTTTCATGCGACCCATGGGAGGCACATGTATGATAATGGGGTTCATGAAGCGTAATATTGTTGTTGAACTTCTCTTGAACTTTTGAAATAGAATCATGAAAATCGATATATGATTAGATACCTAAATCATAATTAGCTTAAATTCTATTTTGATATTGAACATATGGTGTTGGCATTTAGTTATGGCCCTTTTGGGCATTGTCTCAGGGACTTCGAAAAAACGAAAAAAATGTGTCCTCGTACCCCTCCCACATTATCAAAGATTTTTTTTGTTTAATCAAAACTGTGAAAATAATTTTGTTTTTGTCATCAGAATAAAAGAAATGACAAAATTGTATTTCGAGTAATCATTTAATATTACATGTAAAAAGTGAATTCATATAAAGTAATTGGGATAACATATATGGGTTTTCAATATCTGTAGACATTTTCATAGTATTGTTGAATATTTTTAACCAACGAGAATTGCGAATAATAAATTAAAAAATAACATCTTCCACTTTTAAATGAATGCTCTCCCCAATTTCTTGTGCTGGTATATGCATCGTATATTTTGTTTGTATTCTTATTTATTGCCTTACATTGATAAACTAAAAGGTGAATGTGTCTGAGAACACGAATGCCCCCGCTCAAGCTTGCTTTTCAATAGAAAATGGGACGGGCGGACGAAAAGACGGAAGGATGGAGAATCAAGGGTAACACTAACTGGCCCCTTCGCCTTGCGGCGGGGGCATAAAAACTGCAATTTTACATTCAACAATGTCACTTACATCGACATGTTGAAAATACATTTTTGAAGTTGGCTGTCGCTCATACTTTACGAAAAATTCTTTGCCAAATATTGTAACTCAAAAATTAATGCGTACATTTATAATAAATAGTGTTCATCATAAAACAAAAATGGAATATTTGTTAATGTGATTTCAAGACAATGCGATCTGAACTTAAATGAAAGTTTAAACAAATGCAATAGTTAATTACATTATTCAGAAGAAACGAAACAAAAATAACAATTTCTAAATCTACAGTAGCCATTTCGTAAAATATATCAGTAATGACATCCTATACAAATTTAACAACGGTGTATTACATAATATCCATAAAATATAATTCTTTAGGTTGGAGAAATGTTTTACGGCAATTTCAGCAGCAACATTAGAACTCTTTATAAGACAATGTTTATAGAATATTTTTGTATACCTAAGGGAAATAATCATGTCTTAAAGTGCTGAAAACATTTTACTTGAAATATCTATATAAACATGATAAAAGTTACTTCAATTTACCAGTACTGTTAGTTGTACATGAAATATGTGCCAATAACCAACAACGAATTTAATAAAACTTGCAATTGATCCGGTTGAATCGGTGTGTTTTGGATCTTACAAATGTATATATTTGTACTCACCTAAGAGTTGTATCAATACACCTACAATTATAAGAAAAAAATAAGGTTATGTCATATGAAATTGCATTTTTATTTCACTTATCTAAATATTCACAACCATATAATTGTATATAAAAACGGATATGCGGATGTGAATTGATTGCAGTACTTTTTTTTACTTAAAGGTTAATACAATTCAACATGAAATATAGTATTATACGAGCAAGAGGGGGGAAACAAGTAAAATACGCTATATGCGTTTTTCAGAATAGTCTAATACGCTTAGATAGAATATGATTCATGAATAATGTTCTTCTTTGAAACCACCCCTCCTTTTCATTAGTCGGTGTAGAAAGTTTTTGAAAAGTTCTAATGAGAATAATTAAGCGCTAACATCTTTTATCACCGAGATACGTAAACACCTATGAATGCAATATTGGTGTGTTTAATTAAAAAATGAAGATCTGACAGTAGAAAAATAAAATCTTTATTAGCTATAGATCCCATAGTGCCAGGTGATCTTTTCTCATCACTTGGCGTCCGTCGTCGTCGTCGTCCGTAAATTTTTACAAAAATCTTCTCCTCTGAAACTATTTGGCCAAATTAACTAAACTTGGCCACAATCGTCGTTTGGGTATCTAGCGTAGGAAATGCAACTGATGACACCGCCTGCCAACCAATATGGCTGACATAGCTAAAATTTAAAAAAAAATGCCAAAAGAACCAAAGATGTATAAATATTTAACAGCTATATGACAAAAGGAACCTTACAAATTGCCTTAACCATCTGGGTTTAACTCTGCAAGGAGAAGTAAGAACCTTAGATTCTTAAAATTTTCTAAATTCATCAATGGGAAATTCATAATGTATGTTATAAATCCTAAACGTCCGAAGCGCTTTTCTGTATTTTGATATATCAATTTGCCAAACTTAACAAATATGTTGTCGATATAAGGGACAGGATCTTGATAAAAATAATTTCTTAAAACTATATGAATGTATTAAAACTAAGGTTGCCTATATTTTTCTTAGATGGTCTTGGATTTTCTGTTTAGGTTTAGACATTTTCACAGCGACATTCATATAATTCTTTGTTGTGCTTTACTATGTGTGATTTTTTTAAAATCCAACGACACTCTTCTTTTATTTCCGAGTTCAAGATGTAGGTAGCCTCAATGTGCAGGTGTTTTATGTGTAGATAACTAAACGGGGATAGTTTAGGTGCATACATACCTAGTTTAACCCCATCACATGTCCTTCCTGTACCAACTTAGTTTATCTGGTCCTTTTGATGTATATTTTGATGTACTGTTTTTATATTTTTTTGTTATTTATATTATTCTTTTTTAAATGTCTTAATTTAGAATTCAAGGATGGTCATTATGACCTCGTTTATAGTTACGATGTTTCATTTCTGATCTTTTAACAGAAGAACCTACTGGTTACACTTTGTACCATGTTTACCCATACGAATGTATTACCGATTAAATGGTTCATACATCTGTTACAGGACATGAATTTTGGATAACATGACAGATAATACTTTTATAACAGGCGATGCCTCCTCTTTCGATACACATCTATTAGTCTGTTTCCATATTTGCCTTTTAACTAGACTTTGCTAGTGGCATTTAAGTAAATTCGATATTATACTTTATGATAAACGCAAAGCTAAAATATTTACAAAACAAGTACAAACAAACCTGAAATCAAAAAGAAGGAAATATTCCAGTTCATTTCGGACTTTCTTTTATCTGTTCCCTGATAATATAGAAAGTTCGATAAGCATGTCTTTATTACGTAAGCAAGGCCTATATTTAATCATTGTCTAATGAATTGTTCTGGCTACGATTAACTGTGTATGCTATAAACCAAAATAAGCATCTTGAGAATCGTCTTAAAATTTTAATCACGTATTGTTTTCCCACTAGCTTTGTTATACCAAATCGCTTGACCTTTTAATCGGTATGTCAATTGATGACTACAGATATATTACGCCTTATTCAATATTTCCAACAAATTTATTGTCGATCAGTACGCTCTAAAGAGTAGATGGACTTTTTTCTCCAGGATCTCCAGTTAGTTTCTCAAGGCAGGACTGCTGCACTATTAACCTCGTCAAGAAGATTCACAAATTATTTGAATTAAGGATCATCGTACTGGAACATCCGTCCCATGTTGATTGACATTTTTGGACAAACTGGTATGCATTCTATCTAACAATTCGAATGACTTTCCTTTGAACAATTCTAGTAAATTTTGACTTTTCAATTTCTCCCGAGTATACAAGATTTAAGGCGCCTCTTCCCTAAGCAAAGTCTCGTAACTTTGAGAGTGCAAATGTTCTAACTGCTGCTTATTGGGACCACTACTAGCTATAACGTCTACAAAACGCAAAATATATAATAAATATGCTTGTATAGAGTCTTATTGGTAAACTAAAACTACCAAAAAGGTGACAGCAATAAAACCAAGCACAGTCTAGACTATCTAAGATCAATTTGTCACATAAAGTCGTTAGTTGGCTTGCAACATTAGTTTGTGTCCAATACGATAATATAATTGAAAATTTACAGACAAGATATGCCATTCAAATCAAACTAGTAACTGCTATTTGGTGGATAGTATTTGTACCCTTTCGTCAAAACTGGTCTACTGGTAACGGTTATATAAATCTGCATAAGTAATAGGCATTTTTAGTCTACTGATGTTCAAACATGTAGATCTATTTTAAATGTATGAATGATTGATTGTATTTCTTTAATGTCATGTGTGAGGAATGTGGCACAACCACTACACGCGGTATTGGATTATCCGTCTACATTCCGACCGAACGTGAATATTTATTTATATATCCCGCACGGCTCCTAACAGACGTTTCTCTTTACTGTCGGATAGAAGTCCATATGACCATAATTCTATATTCAAACCAATCTGTGGGTTCACTTTGTATACAAACAACCACAATATAAAAAAATGACGGAATTTTGGAAATATGACACAGTATTCTTTTCTTCAGACACGTTCTTCAGGATTACCCTCAGATGCATGATCTGGTACACTTGATACTGTAAGTTTGGAAGAAAAGAAAAATAAAACTTTTCTTTTTTGAACAGTTTTGAATGACTGCAATCCAAGATAGTAAGTGATTCTAAAATTCATAATAAGTTCATTTTCGGCCCAATTTAAA